TATTTTTATTTATTTTATTGTTTATGTTTTTTGATATTCTTGTTTGTTATGTTTATTTTATTGTTTATGTTATTTTATTCCAGTTTATTACATTTATGGTGTTATTTTTATTGTGGATTTTTTTTGTTATTCTTGTTTATTATTTTTATGGTGTTTATTTATTTTATTGTTTATTTTTTGTTTTTCTTGTTTATTATTTTTATTTATTTTATTGTTTATGTTTTTTTGCTATTCTTGTTTGTTATTTTTATTTTATTGTTTATATTGTGTTATTTTTGTTTATTATATTTATGGTGTTATTTTTATTTATTTTATTGTGGTTTCTTGTTATTCTTGTTTGTTATTTTTATTTATTTTATGGTTTATGTTTTTTGTTATTCTTGTTTATTATATTTATGATGTTATTTTTATTTATTTTATTGTTTATATATATTTGTTACTCTTATTTATTATTTTCATGGTGTTATTTTCATTATTTTTTAAATTTTATTGCTTATTTTTGTTATTCTTGTTTATTATTTTTATTTATTTCATTGTTTACGTTTTTTGTTATTCTTGTTTTATTGTTTTCATAGTGTTTTGTTCTGAGTTGGCTAAGGACTCATGGGGCTTGTAGTTTGACAAGCCTTCTTTGGCCTCCTCTGCCCAAGAGGGCCATTTCCTCCCCAAACTACAATTCCCATGATTCCATTGCTTCCAACCATAAAATGGCGCCTTTCAACTCTTCCGCACTCTTTCTTCCCGCCTTTTTTCTTTTCCCTCCTCAGAACTACGACTCCCACAATGCACCTCCCTCCCTCTCTCCCAGTGGGCGTGTCTAGCCCAACCCTCCTCTCTCCTCATTGGCCGACTCCGCTCAGGCGCCCCTCCCTCTCGGGACCCTTCTGGCCCCGCCCCTTTTCCCCATTCCCTTCCTTCCGGAGCGTGTGAGGCCTTCTTGCGATGGGGGCGGCGGTGTTCTTCGGCTGCACCTTCATCGCCTTCGGGCCGGCCTTGGCCCTCTGCCTGCTCACCGTGGCCGGGGACCCCCTCCGCGTCATCATCCTCGTGGCCGGGTCAGACCCAAGGGGTTCCCTCAGGGGGGAGGGGGGAGGGGAGGGGGGAATTGGGGAAAGGGGGCGGGGCTTAGGCAGGCCCCGCCCACTTGCGGAAGTAGGGGGCTCCCTGCTTTGGGGGAGGTCATATCAGGACAGTGGCTGGGGAAAGTTACTTTCTGATGGCAATCTCTAAACCTCCAGCAAGGTGAAGGGATAGGTCTGTCTGTCATCCCTTAGGCATGACTACATTGGCTGTAATCCCCTATCAATGGCTTGCAGCTTCCTTCCCCTATTTAATATTACTGCAACTCCCAGAATCCCCCAGATGATATGGCTATAACTCCCCAGAGCCCTGATCTATCAGCCTCCCAATCAGTGTGACTGCAACTCCCAGAACCCCCACATGATATGGCTATAACTCCCCACATCCCTTCCAATTGGTGTGGCTGCAACTCCCAGTATCCTCCAGGTAACATGGCTATAACTCCCCAGAGCCCTGATCTATCAGCAACTCCCCGAATCCCCAGATGACATGGCTATAACTCCCCAGAGTTCAGCTTCCCAATCAGTGACTTCAACTCCCAGAATCCCCCACATGATATGCTACAACTCCCCAGATCCTTTCCAACTGGTGTGACTGTAACTCCCAGAATCCCCAGATGATATGGCTATAACTCTCCAGAGCCCTTCCAATTGGTGTGACTTCAACTCCCAAAATCCCCCAGATGATATGGCTATAACTCCCCAGGTCCCTGATATATCAGCCTGACTGCAATTCCCAGAATCCCGCAGATGACATGGCTATAACTCCCCAGAGCCCTGATCTATCTGCTTCCCAATCAGCATGACTGCAGTTCCCAAAATCCCCCAGATGACATGGCTATAGCTCCCCAGAGCCCCGACCTATCAGCCTCCCAATCAGTGTGACCGCAACGCCCAGAATGCCCAGATCCCTGATCTATCTGCTTCCCAATCAGTGTGACTGCAACTCCCAGAATCCCCCAGGTGACATGGCTATAACTCCCCTAATCTCTGATGTATCAGCTTCCCAAACAGCAAGATTGCAATTCACCAGAATCCCCCAGAGGACATGCCTCTAATTCCCCAAATTCCTGATCTATCAGCTTCCCAATCAGCATGACTGCAATTCCCAGAATCCCCCAGATGACATGGCCATAATTCCCCAAATCCTTGATCTATCAGTTTCCCAATCAGCATGATTGCAATGCCCAGAATCCCCCAGATGGCATGGCTATAGCCCCCCATAGCCCTCCCAATTGGTGTGACTTCAACTCCCAGAATCCCCCAGATGACATGGCCATAACTCTCCAGAGCCCTGATCTATCAGCCTCCCAATCAATGGGATTGCAACTCCCAGAATCCCCCAGATGACATAGCTATAACTCCCCAGATCCCTCCCAATTGGTGTGACTTCAAATCCCAGAATCCCCCAGATAACATGGCTATAACTCCCCAGATCCCTCCCAAGATGTGTGACTTCAACTCCCAGAATCCCCAAGTGACATAGCTATAACTCCCCAGATCTCTGATCTATCAGCTTCCCAATTCCCATAATTCCTAATTCCCAGAATCCCCCAGATGACAGAGCTATAACTCCCCAAATCCCTGATATATCAGCTTCCCAATTAGTGTGACCGCAACTCCCAGAATCCCCAGATGACATGACTATAACTCCCCAGATCCCTGGTCTATCAGCCTCCCAGTGGGTGTGCCTGCAACTCCCAGAATCATGACAGTAAATAAGGAACAACACTTAGAAAACAGGGGAATTCCAGAAAGGAAGCAATCATGGCCGGCGAATCACCTCCCAACAAAGGATCCCCAGGCAGGAAGCAGACAAGCCTTGAAGCTGCAAGGCCATTCAGTGCTAATCAAGGTAGCCAATTGCAACATTCCCACTTGCCTCAAGCACCCTGGACATTATTCCACAGATATATAAACCTCACTTGCCTAGTTTTGACGGGAAGGTAATGGCGTTCCATGCAGTCATGCCGGCCATGTGACCTTGGAGGTGTCTACGGACAACGCCGGCTCTTTGGCTTAGAAATGGAGATGAGCACCAACTCCCAGAGTTGGACACGACTGGGGAAAACCTTTACCTTTACTCCAGAGCTTTGACGTTCTCAGTATCGTCTGCTGGACTCATTTCATCTTCTTTGTTGTTGAGAAGGCCGAACGTGGTGTTATGGTGGCAATAATGTTCCTTTTCTAAACCTCTCTTACCCGCAGGGCCTTTTTCTGGTTGGTTTCTCTCCTCCTGGCCTCTCTGATCTGGTTCATTTCGGTGCACCTGAGCGACCGGGAGGACGGGCGGCTGCAACACGGGCTCCTGATGTTCGGGGCGGCCATATCTGTTTTGCTGCAGGAGGCTTTCCGTTTCGCTTACTTCAAACTCCTCAAGTAAGTCAAGGGCCCTGTCTGGATGGACTATTTGATGCAGTTTGAAGCCAACTTCAAACTGCAGCTACTAGACAAAAACCTCCCTCAATGTGCGTCAATGCTCAGTGGTTTGTCGCATCACCATCTATAATCATCATCATCATCATTATCATCACCATCATCATCATCTATATAAATAAAAATGTAATGTTTGTTTGTGGGATTAACATAATTCAAAAACCACTGGACGAATTGACACCAAATTTGGACACAGGACACCTATCAGGCCAACGAGTGACCATCACTCATAAAAAAAACCCCCAAATAGTAGAAAGGACTTAAAGCCCCCAAAAACCTAACGAAAAGCTAAATGACGATGCAGAAAAAAGGAAAGGAAGAGGGAGGGAAGGAAGGGGAGAAAGAGAGAAAGGGGTAGAGAAAGAAAGAAAGAAGGAAAGAGAAGGAAGAGAAGCAAAGAGCAAGGAGAAGGAGAAAGAGGTAGAGAAGGAAAGAAAGAGGAGAAAGAAAGAGGGAGGGAAGAAGGAGAGAGAAGGAAGGGAAAGAGAGGAGGAAGGAAGGAAGGAAGGAAGAGAGGAAGAAAGAGAGAAAGAAAGGAGGAAGAAGGAAGAGAAGGAAGGAAGGAAAGGAAGGAAGGAAGGAAGAGAAGGAAGAAGAAGGAGAGAGAAGGAAGAAGGAGAGAAAGAGAAGAAAGAAAGAAAGAAGAAAGAAAGAAAGAAGAGGGATGGAAGGAAGGAAGAAAAAAGTGAAGGAAGGAAGGAGGTAGAGAAGGAAGAAAGGAGAGAAAGAAAGAAAGGGAGGGAAGGAAAAAAGGAAAGAGAAGGAAGGATGGAAGCAAAGGGGAAAGGAAGGAAGGAAAGAGTAGAGAAGGAAGAAAGGAGAGGAAGAAAGAGGGAGGGGAAAAAGGAAAGAGAAGGAAGGAAGGAAAGAGGTAGAGAAGGAAGAAAGGAGAGAAAGAAAGAAAGGGAGGGAAGGAAAAAAGGAAAGAGAAGGAAGGATGGAAGCAAAGGGGAAAGGAAGGAAGGAAAGAGGTAGAGAAGGAAGAAAGAGAAAGAAAGAGGGAGGGAAAGAAAGAAGGAAAGAGAGAAAAGAAAGAAAAGAGAAAGAGGGACGGCAAGAAAGAAGGAAAGAGAGAAGGAAGAATGGAAGCAAGGAGCAAAGGAAGGAAGGAAGGAAGGAGAGAAAGAAGTAGGAAAAGAAAAAGGGGGAAAGGAAGAAAAGAGATAGAAGAGGAAGGAAGGAGAAGACGAAAAAAGGAAAGAAAGAGGGAGTGAAGGAAGGAGAGAAAGGGAAGGAAGGAAAAAAGGAGAGGAAGCGGGAGGAAAAGAAAAAGGGGGGAAGGAAGGAAAGAGGTAGAGAAGGAAGGAAGGAGTGAAGGAAAGAAGAAAAGGGAAGAAGGAAAGAGGGAGCAAAGGAAGGAGGGAAAGAAGGAGTGAAAGAAGGAGGGAAGGTCCTTCTTTCCTTCTTTCTTTCTCTCTTTCTCTCCCTCCTTCTCTCCTTCCTTCCTTCCTTCCTTCCTTCCTTCCTTCCTTCCTTCCTTCCTTCCTTCCTTCCTTCCTTCCTCCCTCCCTCCTTCCTTCCTTCCTTCCTTCCCCCTTTCTGTGTATGTGTTTTGTGTGTGTATATGCATAAATGTGTGTATATGTGTGTGTTTGTGTATATATATGTGGTTTTACTTGTGCATTGTAATGTATTTTGGGGGGTTGCTTTTTAAGTCTCTTGTGTTGTATTTTTCAGTATTTTTATGAGTGTTGGTCACTCGTTGGCCTGATGGGTATCTTGTGTCCAAATTTGGTGTCAATTCGTCCAGTGGTATTTCAGTTATGTTAATCCCACAAACAAACATTACATTTTTATTTAGATAGATTGTATATACATATAATATTTACAATATATAATATAATACTACTACTAATAATGCAATATTATAATGATATATTTTCTATTACATGTAATATTAGTAATAATATTACGATATAATGGTATAGTGCAATATAGTAATATATAATACTGATATTGTACTATGCTAATAATCTAATATATTGTATGTATGTACATTTTGTAAGCCGCTCTGAGTCCCTTTCGAGGTGAGAAGGGCGGCATATAAATAAATAAATTGTAAACAATATCAAAACAATATGGCTGATTATGATAGATTATGGTTGCTTCTATAACATCCTTGTTTTCTTATTCCTTGATTGCAGTCTCTATTTTGATTAGAATCATAGAATAATTTTGACTTGAGAGGGACCAACTCCCTGTAGGAAAGGCACAATCAAAGCCTTTCCAGCAGATGGCCACCCAGCCTCTGTTTACAATCCTCCAAGAAAGAAACTGAGGTGGAGAGTTCCACTGTTGAACTGCTCTCACAGTCAATAAGTTCTTCCTAAGGTTCAGGTGGAATCTCCTTTCCTGTCGTTTGAAACTATTACTGTGAACCCACAATATCTGATGTAATGCAGTGATCATAGAATCAAAGAGTTGGAAGAGACCTCATGGGCCATCCAGTCCAACCCCATTCTGCCAAGAAGCAGGAATATTGCATTCAAAGCACCCCTGACAGATGGCCATCCAGCCTCTGTTTCAAAGCTTCCAAAGAAGGAGCCTCCACCACACTCCGGGGCAGAGAGTTCCACTGCTGAATGGCTCTCACAGTCAGGAAGTTCTTCCTCATGTTCAGATGGAATCTCCTTTCTTGGAGTTTGAAGCCATTGTGATAGAGTTGAATAGGCTGTGCATGTATTGTCTCATTTTGGAATCGCTTCTTGATTTTCTGCATCCGTAGGAAAGCTGATGAAGGCTTGGTGACCATAAGCGAGGATGGACGGTCTCCCATCTCCATCAAGCAGATGGCATACGGTGAGTTTGAGTACGTTTAATTTGTTGATGTTAGGCTCTAATGTTGTTTTACATATGTGGGGTTTTTCTGGAATTAGTATGTCAGTACTTGTTTGTTCTATGGAGGCATTGAATGTTTGCTTTTGTATGTTGGAATTCACAGTATATTATATTATATGTATTGTAATATACTGTATATTATCTATATAAATAAAAATGTAATGTTCATTTGTGGGATTAACAGAACTCAAAAACCACTGGACGAATTGACACCAAATTTGGACACAAGACACCTAACAACCCAATGTATGTCCTTCACTCAAAAAATTGATTTTGTCATTTGGGAGTTGTCGTTGCTGGGATTTATAGTTCACCTACAATCAAAGAGCATTCTGAACCCCACCAACGATGGAATTGAACCAAACTTGGCACACAGTTCTCCCATGTCCAACAGAAAATACTGGAAGGGTTTGGTGGGCAGTGTCCTTTGGTTTTGGAGTTGTAGTTCACCTACATCCAGAGATCACTGTGGACTCAAACAATGATGGATCTGGACCAAACTCTACACGAATACTCAATATGCCCAAATGTGAACACTGGTGGAGTTTGGAATCTTGACATTTGTAGTTGCTGGGATTTATAGTTCACCTGCAATCACAGAGCATTCTGAATCCCACGAACAATAGAATTGGGCCAAACCTCCCACACAGAACCCCCATGTGGGCCACAGCAACGCGTGGCAGGAGACAGCTAATAATAATAATAATAATAATAATAATAATAATAATAATAATAATAAGGATAGAACTGCAAAGACTCTCGCACAAGGCAGTCAAGGTGATCTCCATCGTGATCGGCACACTGGGTGCAGTGCCTAAAGACCTTGGCCTGCACTTAAACACAGTGTTTCAAATAACGATGATGATGATGATGTAGATGTATCCCTAGATTCTTCCTTGTATGTCTTACTTGGGCCTTGGGATAGTTTCCACTGGAAACAGTCCACAACTGACTGCATTTTTCCATGTTTGGAGAGCGCTATCTATGGGTTAAGCCAGTGGTTCCCATCCTGTGGTCCATGGACCACCAGCGGTCCACAAGAACAAAAATATGGTCCTCAACCTCAACATTACTACTTCGAAACCATGTGGCAAATGAGAGTGACTGGTCTCATGAAACCTTCTTGTAGTGCTGACTCTACAACTCTGAGCGCGTGAGCTCTTCGAGTGCAGCATTTTTCCGAATGAAGCAGAGAGTGTTTGAGGACTGGGACATCTGTAGAGATACCAAGGTGCTTGTCTATAAAGCTATTGTCCCCCAACCCTGCTATATGCCTGTGAGACGTGGACAGTCTACGGGCGTCACATGCAACTCCTGGAACAATGCCATCAGAGCTTCCCTTTGGAAAATCCTCCAACTCTCTTGGGAAGACAAGTGGACAAATGTCAGCGTGCTGGAAGAAGCAAAGACCACCAGCATTGAAGCGATGGTCCTCCGCCATCAACTCTGCTGGACTGGCCATGTTGTCCGGATGCCCGACCACCGTCTCCCAAAGCAGTTGCTCTACTCCGAACTCAAGAAGGGAAAACGGAATGCTGGAGGACAGGAAAAGAGATTTAAAGATGCGTTCAAAGCCAACCTTAAAAACTCTGGCATGGACACTGAGAACTGGGAAGTTCTGGCCCTTGAGCGCTCCAGTTGGAGGTCAGCTGTGACCAGCAGTGCTGCAGAATTTGAAGAGGCACGAATGGAGGGCGAAGGAGAAAAACGTGCCAAGAGGAAGGTGCGTCAAGCCAACCCAGCCAGGACCGCCTTCCACCTGGAAACCAATGCCCTCACTGCGGGAGAAGATGCAGATCAAGAATAGGGCTCCACAGTCACTTACGGACCCACCGACAGAACACCGACCTTGGAGGACTATCATCCTTGGACTACGAAGGATCGCCTAACTAACGAACGAACACCTCCTGGGATCCCATAGCACTAATCCGTGGCCTGCGTTCGGACAGGCAAACTAGGCCGGAACCGTTTAGAGCTTTCTAGGCTTAAGGCAGCATTTTGACTTGCGCTCGGAAGCAAACTGGCCACCAATGGGGCTGGCGTAACAGGGGATTGTGTGTTCCCTGTTCTCCACTTCAGTGAGAAGTCTGGTTTCGCCCTTTGGACCACTTGAAGCTTCTAAACAGTCTTCAAAGGCAATCCCACGTAGAGCGTGTTGCAGTAGTCTTTCCAGGATGTAACAAGAGCGTGCACCACCGTGGCCAAGTATTGCTTCCCAAGCTATGGGCACAACTGGCGCACAAGTTTTAATCATACAAAATTAATGTAATATAATATATTGTATATACATGTAATATTAATAATATTATAATGTACAATATACTACTACTAATATTAAATAGAAATTATAATTTTATATTTTATATTAAATGCAATATTACTAATAATATTACAGTATAATGTTATAATACAATGTAATATATAATATTATATAATATATTGTATATACATATAATATTGATAATATTATAATGTAATACAATATACTACTACTAATAATAATGCAATATTATAATTATATATTTTATATTACATGTAATATTGCTAATAATATTACAGTATAATGTTATATATAATATTAATATTGTGCTATGATAATAATATAATATATTGTATTTACTTTTTACTTGTAAGCCACTCTGAGTCCCCTTTGGGGTGAGAAGGGCGGCATATAAATGTTGCAAATAAATAAATAATATATAATATTAATATTGTGCTATGATAATAATAATAATAATAATATATTCTCAAAACAGTGAATGGAAGTGACATCAGGTAACACGCGTTCCTATTTGGGTTGAAAATCAAATTATTTGGTGATGCTGGAGGACTTCATAGGTGTTTTTGCGTGTTCCTGTTTGCTTGCAAAAAAACACACAAAATCACGCTGATTTGGGTATTTTCAGGGCTCAAAAAAAGGTCAAATGTGACCCTTGTATGTTTTGTCACCTTGTCCATTTTTTCTTGTCCATTTTTTATTTCCCAAAGGAAATATCCATTTTGTGGCAGCTCCTTAAGCTTCCTGAGTTGCCTTCCCCGTTGAAGTCTGCTTCTGCTACATCTTTTTATGAAACACTGCTATTTTTAAGACAGATGGAAGTGTCGCGGAGGAGGAAGGACAAGCTGGCCCTGCCGTCCTTAAATACGGCTCTGCCATTAAAGGCTTTTGTGTCTTGTCCTTTGTTCTGGAGCTGGGCGCTCTTCCGGGTATATCCAATATACTGCTTTTGGGGGCAAACACAGCAATGAAGAGATGCTTTTTCTTTGTGGTCAGAGGAGGAATCAATGGTTGAAATGCTTTCCAGCCCTTTTGGCTGAGCTCTTCGCAACCATTTGAGACCCTAAACAAATTTGTTTATAGTGTCAGGAGCAACCAGACATTTGTATTCCATTTTTAACAAAACAAACAAACAAACAGATTAAAAAACAACCAAGTTTGGTAGTTGATTAAATGTCCTTTGACCAGTATCTGGCCACTTGGAGTGCCTCTGGTGTTGCTGCAAGAAGGTCCTCTATTGTGCATGTGGCAGGGCTCAGGTTGCATTGCAGCAGGTGGTCAGTGGTTTGCTCTTCTCCACCCTCGCATGTTGTGGATTCCACTTTGTGGCCCCATTTCTTGAGGTTGGCTCTGCATCTTGTGGTGCCAGAGCACAGTCTGTTCAGCACCTTCCAAGTCGTCCAGTCTTCTGTGTGCCCAGGGAGGAGTCTCTCATTTGGTAAAAATGGGTTTGAGCCTGCCACTTTTTGACTCTCGCTTGTTGAGGTGTTCCAGCGAGTGTCTCTGTAAATCTTAGAAAACTATTTCTAGATTTAAGTTGTTGACGTGCTGGCTGATACCCAAACAGGGGATGAGCTGGAGATGTCTCTGCCTTGGTCTTTTCACTATTGGCTGCTACTTCCCGGCGGATGTCAGGTAGTGCTAAGCAGTGTAATTTCTCCAGTGGTGTAGGGCGCAGACACCCCGTGATAATTCGGCATGTCTCATTAAGAGCCACATCCACTGTTTTAGTGTGGTGAGACATGTTCCACACTGGGCATGCATACTCAGCAGCAGAGTAGCATAGCGCAAGGACAGATGGCTTCACTGTGTCTGGTTGTGATCCCCAGGTTGTGCCAGTCAGCTTTTGTATGATATAGTTTCTAGCACCCACTTTTCGCTTGATGTTCAGGCAGTGCTTCTTGTGAGTCAGAGCACGGTCCAGAGTGACTCCCAGGTATTTGGGTGTGCTGCAATGGTCCAGTGGGATTCCTTCCCAGGTCATCCTCAGAGCTCAAGATGCTTGTCTGTTCTTAAGGTGAAAGGCGCATGTCTGTGTTTTAGATGGATTAGGGATCAGCTGGTTTTCCCTGTACTAGGCAGTAAGAGCACCTAGAGTTTCAGAGAGCTTCTGTTCTACCATCTCAAAGCTCCCTGCTTGAGCAGTGATGGCATGATCATCAGCATAGATGAAGCTCTCTGTCCCTTCTGGCAGTGGCTGGTCATTTGTGTAGATGTTGAACATGGATGGAGCAAACACGCTCCCCTGAGGCAGGCCGTTCTTCTGTTTCCGCCATCTGCTTCTCTGGCCCTGGAACTCAACAAAAAAGCTCCTGTTTTGTAGCAGGTTTCCTATGAGGCGGGTGAGGTGGCCGTCCTTTGTGATATTATACATTTTTCTCAGGAGGAGGCGGTGGTTTACGGTATCATTGTGATTGGGGTACTGATGGAAGATGAACTGCTGAGGTTGATATAGTGCCAAAGTATACAAAGTAAATTAAAATGTGACCCATATCTAACCCACATGAGAACGGAAAAAAACAAATCCAATCTCTTTCGAGCATTCAGGTCTTTTCCCCAGTACTCAAACTGTTTAGGTAAGGGGGAAATGCATCAAACAAAGTTGCTAACCCAGCTATATAGCCACGATGCTAATATGGACTCCGAAACCCATCTGTCCAGCTCACTGCAGCTCTTTTTCCCATAGTGTCAGGACTCTCTTTTGGCATCATCAGCGGCGTATTCTCCGTCATCAACATCCTTGCGGATTCCATCGGGCCGGGGACCGTGGGCATCTATGGGGATTCGCCCCATTATTTCATCACATCAGGTAATTGTCTGTCTGTCTATCTATCTATCTATCTATCTATCTATCTATCTATCTATCTATCTATCTATCTTCTATACACATAATAAAATTGGAAATATGTATGTGTGTATGTCATCAGCTGGGGACCCCTGGTCATTTTCTTCCCTGAGCCTCATTTGTGAGCAGAGAAGGAGATCTTCCAGCTTGTCAATATCCTTATCAAAGCCTCCCAACAAAGGATTCCCTAGGCAGGAAGCAGCCAGGCTTTGAAGCTGCAAGGCTATTCTTACTTACTTACTTAAGTTCCACCTTGTATCCTGTGCTATGCTAATAATATAATGTAATGTAATGTAATATATTGTATATACATATAATATTTATAGTATTATAATGTAATGCAATATAATGTGGGGAGCCCCCGGTGGCGCAATGGGTTAAAGCACTGAGCTGCTGAGCTTGTTGATCGAAAGGTCGCAGGTTCGATTCCGGGGAGCGGCGTGAGCTTCCGCTGTCAGCCCTAGCTTCTGCCAACCTAGCAGTTCGAAAACATGCAAATGTGAGTAGATCAATAGGTACCGCTCCAGCGGGAAGGTAACGGCGCTCCATGGAGTCATGCTGGCCACATGACCTTGGAGGTGTCTACGGACAACGCTGGCTCTTCGGCTTAGAAATGGAGATGAGCACCACACCCCAGAGTCACACATGACTGGACTTAATGCAATATAATGCAATATAATACTAATAATAATATGATATAATTATATATTTATATTACATGCGATATTACTAATAATATTACAATTTAATGGAATCATACAATATAGTAATATATAATACTGATATTGTACAATGCTAATAATACAATATATTGTATGTATGTATATATATATATCTTGTAAGCCGCTCTGAGTCCCCTTCGGGGTGCGAAAGACGGCATATAAAAGTTGTCAATAAATAAATATTCTCGCAAGCGCGATTGGTGGGGATGAGGGACAGGGCCTTCTCGATGGTGGCCCCATGATTCTGGACTCCCTCCCCAAGGACATCAGGCAGGCCCCAATGTTGCCAGTCTTTAGAAGGAGCTTGAAGACATGGATGTTCCAGTGTGCCTTCCCAGGATAAGGAACCCTAAGCAATACGTCCTAAATGCACTTTAAGAGATACTTAGAATTGTCTGCACGCCTACCTATCCCAAAATATCCCTCCTATTTCCCTTGGACATGCCCAGCATTTAAAAATTTTAATTCTTACGTTTGGCCCTGCCACAGCTTTTTAAAATGCGTTGTGTTATTTTTGTATTGTTTTTGATTTTATGAGTTATTTATTGTTGTTTTGTTGTTATGTTTTATGATGTGTTTGAGCTCGGCCTCTTGTAAGCCACACCGAGTCCTGCGGGAGATGGTAGCGGGGTATAAATAATGGTTTATTATTATCATTATCATTATTATCATCATTATTATTATTAAATATGTGGCTGGGGTGTCCATATACACAGACAAACAGTAATCACTCCCACTACGGAGGAAACACCAGTGGCCTTTCTTCCAATGACAGTGAGGGTTATAGCGAGCGCCGTATACATGTCCAAGAGCCCTGCCAGTGTCCTCCACCCAAGTGAATGCCTTCATACAGGGACAATTTCATCCTAGATTTTCTGTTTTTCCTCCTCCACAGACATCCCAGTGTTGGTGATGGCATTTTCAGCACCTCTGTGGCAGCCGTTAGGAGAAAATAAAATAATAAAGGGAAATCATAATAATTTAGAATAAAATAGAAGATTCATGTTCCTACCTGATCCAGGGAGTTAATTTGCAAGCATGCAAAACCTGCAGATGATATCGATTGACATGGGGTCAGTGTGCTCTAGCCTGTTTGCTAGCCGATGGTTACATAGATATGAAGTTGACAAGAGAAGTTGGCAGGACAAAGAAATCAATAATATTGATCCAAGACTTGGAACATCTAAGGTCATATGGTGAGAGAGCGCCATCCTCTGACCACTTAATGTAAATAGCAGGCAGTCAGAAACGCTTTTATTTTAAGTATTAAGAAATAAGTTATAACGATTGGTTAGAGGAGATTGCCTTGATCAAATCTTATGTTATAAGCATATAAAAGTTATAATTCAATTAGAGATTTAAGGAATTGAACATATGTGTCATCTTAGGGTAACGAGTGAAAGTTGGGATAAGTTACCTAATCGAGCAGATGTTTGGGGTCACAACGTGCCTGCCAAGATCTGATAAAGATGTCCTTGGTAACTATACATGAAAACACCTGTTAATGATTGTATTGTGTAAATGTCAGACTCGTTCTGCACATGTGTAAAACAAGTAATTTTATGCTATAAAAACTGGAGCAATTGCGACTTCAGAGTGGTGACAGTCATTTGAGCTGGTCACCCTATACTCCGCGGAGATAGAAATAAACGCCTGGAAATCAGACAAGCTTCTCTATCTTCTTCCTTCTCCAAAAGCAGTCTAATGATCTCGGGTAATGTATGTTCCGCAACACCTCCACCGACAATGGACCAGGACCCATGCCTGGGCGTTTGTTTCTCACCCATGCTTTTAGGAAAGAGACGTCTCATACGTACCCTGGCATTGATGAGTCTTCTGTTTACTCTTTCCAGCCTTCCTGACCATGGCCATCGTTCTGCTGCATACATTCTGGGGGACCATCTTCTTTGACGCCTGTGAGAAGAGGTGCTACTGGAAGCTGGCGCTGGTGGTGGCCAGCCATTTGATGACGTCCGGGTTGGTGAGTTGAAATCCTTGCCTGCATCCGTCTTCCAAATACATTAGGAAACATTTTTTTAATCCGTTCCAGGTTTGAAAGTATTATTTCCTATTTAAAGTCCTTACTTTGAAAGTAGTTGCTCTACTCCAGAAACTTTGTTTTTGTGGTTGCCACAAATGAGGTTGAATTGGTTGAGATACTCGTTGGAAAAGAATAGTAAAATGTGTTATAGGATGTCCCTCTGTGTTCGTATATTTTCCGTCCATGGATTCAACAGCCCTTTGAAGGTACACAAAAGGACGTTGTGACCCCTGATGAAAATGAGTTTGATGCCCCTAATACAGGGGTCCTCAAACTAAGGTATATTTACTAATATTTACTAATCTGTATAAATAAAAATGTAATGTTCGTTTGTGGGATTAACATAACTCAAAAACCATTGGACAAATTGACACCAAATTTGGACACAAGACACCTATCAGGCCAATGAGTGACCATCCCTCATACAAATTGATTTTGTCATTTGGGAGTTATAGCTGCAGGGATTTATAGTACACCTACAATCAAACAGCATTCTGAACTCCATCAATGATGGATTTGAACCAAACTTGGCACACAGGACCCCCATGACCGACAGAAAACACTAGAAGGGTTTGGGTGGGCATTGACCTTGAGTTTGGGAGTTGTAGTTCACCATCCAGAGAGCACTGTGGACTCAAACAATGATGGATCTGGACCAAACTCTACACGAATACTCAATATGCCCAAATGTAAACACTGGTGGAGTTTGGGGAAAATAGAATCTTGACATTTGGGAGTTGCAATTACTGGGATGTATAGTTCACCTGCAATCACAGAGCATTTTGAACCCCACCAATGATAGATTGGGCCAAACCTCCCACACAGAACCCCCATGTGGGCCACAGCAACGCGTAGCAGGGGATATTGTATATACATATAGTATAATATACTATATGTCTATACAATATATTATATTATATTATATATATTGTATATACATATAATATTGATAATATTCTAATGTAATACAATATACTACGACTAATAAAATGATATTATAAGTATATATTTTATATAAAATGTAATATTACTAATAATATTACAGTATAATGTTATAGTACAATGTAATATATAATATTAATATTATGATAATAATATATATTGTATTTACTTTTTACTTGTAAGCTGCTCTGAGTCCCCTTCGGGGTGAGAAGGGTGGCATATACTGTATATACTCGAGTATGAGCCTAGTTTTTCAGCCCCTTTTTTAGGCTGAAAAAGCTCCCCTCGGCTTATATTCGAGTCAATTTTATTTATTATTTTACTCTGTTATTAGTATTATTTTTATTTCATGTATTATTTTACTCTCTTTATTATTATTACATTTACAGTATTTTACCCATTATTATTATTATTATTATTATTATTACATTTATTATTTTACACTATTTATGATTATTACATTTATTATTTTACTTTATTATTATTGCATTTATTATTTTACTCTATTATTACATTTATTATTCTACTCTATTATTACTGTTATTATTGCATTTCCATTATTTTACTTTATTATTATTATTATATTTATTATTTTACTCTCTTTATTATTGTTGGAAGTATACATAAGTACATTTACATTGAAGATATGTAATGATTTAATCAGAGTTGGGCAGTCTTATCTCAAATTACAGTTTTATGTAAATATTCAAAAACATTTAACCTCCTGGTGTCTCAATTAATGTAATTTTATTGGTATCTATTTTTATTTCGAAATTTACCTGTAGTGGCTGCATTTCCCACCCTCGGCTTATACTCGAGTTTCCCAGTTTTTTGTGGTAAAATTAGGTGCCTCGGCTTATATTCGGGTCGGCTTATACTCGAGTATATACGGTAAATGCCCCCAAATAAATAAATAAATAAATAAATATTGCAGTATAATGTTATAGTACAATGTAATATATAATATTAATATTGTGCTAGGATAATAATATAATATATTGTATTTACTTTTTACTTGCAAGCTACTCTGAGTCCCCTTCAGGGTGAGAAGGGCGGCATATAAATATCGTAAATAATAAATAAATAAATAAAATTTCAAATTCTGGAGGTGGAATGGGCGCCCAATGGCCATCTAGTCCACCCTCATTCTGCCATGCAGGAAAAGTACAATCAAAGCCCTTTCAATAGATGTCCATCCAACCTCTGTTTCAAAGCCTGGAAGGCATCGTATTGTGGTTCACCGTCTAACAAGAATGCAGACTAGGCTGCTCTGGGTTTAAGTCTGAGCTGTAAAGAATGCTCAGGGAGACGGTGAGATGGTGAAGCAGAACCCAGAGAAGTCGGGAGTAATCCACTAAGCCCAGGAGGGGTTTCCTTGGAGACGACAGATCCTTTTGCACGAGGGGCTTTGGACGTCACCCGCGGTGGCTGCGAGCGAGGCTTACACCAGGCCGATGGGGGTTGGAGTGGAGGGTGGGATTAGCGGCTCTGTTCTCAAATCCCCCTTTATCTCTCTTTGTTTTCTCCTCCCTTCTCTCCAGACGTTCCTCAACCCTTGCTACGAGGCCAGCCTCATCCCCATCTTCATGATCACGCTCTCCACCGGAGTCTGGGCTTTCTTCACGGCCGGCGGTTCCTTCCGCAGCATCCTCTCCTGCCTCTCCTGTGAGGATTGTGGCAAATTCGGGGGTCGCAAAAAATAATTATCAGTCTGGTGGCTATTTATCTAGCCATATACTATTGAGTACTCCGCTTAACTTATCCAAATCCACTTCCAAGCCATAGTCAAACATTATCAATTGTCCTTTAACCTAATTGCCCGAAGGCCTGGTCCCACATCCACATTTTAACCTTCTTTCTAAAGGTAAGGAGGGATGATGATGACCTAATTTCCACGGGAAGTGAATTCCACCACCGAGAAGGCCCTGTCCCTCGTCCCCGCCAAACATGTTTGAGACAGAGGCGGGGCCGAGAGCAGGGCCTCCCCAGAAGATCTGAAACCCCGAGGTGGGACGTGGAAGGAGAGTTACGTTCAGACAGGTATGCTGGATCTATATCCAAAGTTGCAACCTCCTGCAGCTTGTATTAAAAACCAAAAAAACAAAAACACGAACACCCCCTATTTTATATAAGGGTACCCATTCTACTACAGTATTCCCTCACTTATCGCGGGTGTTACATTCCAGGATCACCCGCGAACAGTGAAAATCTGCGAAGTAGGGACGCTATATTTATTTTGGGTTGTTGTAGGTTTTTCCGGGCTATAGGGCCATGTTCTAGAGGCATTTTCTCCTGACGTTTCGCCTGCATCTATGGCAAGCATCCTCAGAGGTAGTGAGGTCTATTTATTATATTTATTTTTTATTATATTTTATTATTATATTTATTATATTTTATTATAATATTTATTTATTATATTTATTTTAATATTTATACATTATTTTAGTAGTTATGCACTATTTTAAGTCTTTATAAACCCTCCCCACACACTTATACACTACATAACTCTTTTTCTTTACCTTATAAACAAACTCCTTCAGTCACTTTAGTTGAGCAGCAACTTTTAGAAAGCGCTCCACTGAGCTTGTTGATCGAAAGGTCGCAGGTTCGATTCGGGGAGCGGCGTGAGCTTCCGCTGTCAGCCCTAGCTTCTGCCAACCTAGCAGTTCAAAAACATGCAAATATGAGTAGATCAATAGGTACCACTCCGGCGTGAAGGTAACGGCACTCCATGCAGTCATGCCGGCCACATGACCTTGGAGGTGTCTATGGACAACGCTGGCTCTTCGGCTTAGAAATGGAGATGAGCACCACACCCCAGAGTCAGACATGACTGGACTTAATGTCAGTGGAAAACCTTTACCTTTACCTTTAAGAAGCGTTCACGCGTATATATATTACAAGCCTTCTGAAAAGTCATGCTTATATGTTGTAGAAGGCTTTCATGGCCAGAATCACTGTGTTGCTGTGAGTTTTCCGGGCTGTCTGGCCGTGTTCCAGAAGCATTCTCTCCTGACATTTTGCCTGCCATAAATGTGGGCGAAACATCAGGAGAGAATGCTTCTGGAACGTGGCCAGACAACCTGGAAAACTCACAGCGACCTAGTCATACTTACATTCCTGTTTAGGTATTATTTCGGGAAAACAGGGTATCAAGCAGAGCTCAGAGCCATTGCTTGCTTTCTTGGACTGCATTCTGGGATTTATAGTTCTCAACGCATGTTTCCAGACTTTTGAGATTCTCAGCCACATTTGCAGGGAGGTTGACCGAATTTCTCTCTTTCTTTTTCCCCTGGTCGTTGGCTTCCTTGCAGGCCGACGGAAAGAGGAGAACCATGTGATGGTTTACTCCGCACTACAGCTCCCCAGTGAGAACTGAAGAGTCCCAGGATCCTCCGAAGGGAACGGGAGTCACCCAAGTGCCTTCTTCTTGCCAATGGTACACATCCATTTCTCTCTTTTCTATTGCTGTCTTTCCTTTCGGAAGAAAAAGCAACCACTCTTGACGTTTTGTACATTCCTTTGGGATTCAGGATATAAGCGTCGCTCCAGTCGAGATGTACCATTTGGAGTTATAATTTTCCCTCGCTTCTTCCGTTCAAGATGGGGATTGTTGGTTGGCTTTCAGCTCCTCCTTTTGAGGATCCGGCACATTTCGGCGTCGGTTGTGAGATGTTTCCTGTGGCGATGTGGCGAGCCTTTTTGGATTTGTGCCATTTGTAAACATCTCTGTGTACGCACGCCCAGACCTTTGGACGTAGAGCTTGCCAAGATAAACGGATGAGAGAAAAATGGGGGCTCGTCCGGGATCGGAAAGGAAATCCCTCACTTTGTCCTTCTGAATGTAAACAAAGGCAGGACTGGAGGAAGAGTTTGGAATACATGTTGCAAGCGAGGCTCCCAAGCCACGTTCTTCCTTTCCTGCTTGAACAAATCCTCCACGGTGTACATTTATTGATATTTTTATTGGGTAGGATCGAATCGGAACTCATTAGATTGTATTTTTGAAGCCACCGGTTCGAGCGAGTGGACTCGTCTGGCTCCACCACTTAGGATGTTTGGTCTTAGATTTTCCATATTTTGTTTTGTATTTTTCCTTCCTCGTTCAGTGCTAAGAATCACAGCCCTCTTGGAAAAAATATAAAGAGTGGAAGAAGGAAACTGAGGCCGTTTTGAGAAAGACCGGAGCCTCCATGTTCTAGTCATTCTTGTCCAAGCGGTAGATCAGGCATGAGCAGATGTTTTGAACTTCAACTCCTACAATTCCTAACAGCCTTAGGCCCTTTCCTTTTCTCCCTCAGCTGCTTAAGTGAAAAAGATTAATTTCAACAATTCAGCAGCAGATCAGTTGCACAACTTCAGCGCTTTCCAGTAGCTTCTTCCTGCACAGTATTTTCAGTCAACTGCTCCCACTTGGAACCTTTTACAGACACTTGAGTACATGCCCGGCCATTGTCAGTTTTACCATTGTCTTTCCCCCAGTCTAGGTGATATTACAAACTTACCACAGCATACAGTTATATCTTGTCTTAGCAGACAGGTTCTTTTAATTACATATAGCCTTCGACGAACAACATCACAGCACAAGGAGAGAATATACACTGTACATGACTTCCTTATATACAATTCATTTACACATAGCAATCTCTGATTGGTTCCCAACTCATTGACTCAACTCAAACCCAGGATTACATCATTCACAATCACCTGGACTAGGCCAGAACACATTCCCCAAATGATTCCCTATATACAGTTAATGCATGACTCAGCATTTCCAATAGAAGCCCATTAGCAGTGCATGACTCAGCTATATTACATTACAATACATTGTAAAACCTGACATGGGGCCTCATCTGGGATTGTACTTCTGAATGTAAACAAAGGCTTAAGCGGCTGAGGAGGAAAAGGAAAGGAACCGAGGCTGTTAGGAATTGTGGGAGTTGAAGTCCAAAACACCTGTAGGGACAAAGTTTGCCCATGCATAGATGGTGGCATTAATTCCAAAGAAAGGTCCAGGGTCCAAGACAGATATTTTTCGACTCTGATTCCCAGAATGGTGGCTTTCAAATGGGGATGATTGGTAGTTGCCAGTTGTTTCTAGTATCTAGTAATCTATATGGACAATGGTGAGGGATGTTGGGCAATGCAGTCCATCATCTCTGATTCCTCACCTCTGGTTTAGAAGAAGGTAGAACCACTTCCACCTGTTTACCTGGGTTGCATAGCTAATATGGCTGATGGAAGTTGCAGCTCAACGGCATCCGACGATCCACAAAGAAAAGACCTTTGTTGAGTGGTTGTTGATGTAGTTTATGTTTCTTCTGTGAGACGCGGGGGGCGGCATTGGAACCCGGTCCTTTGACAAAAATGCTGGCCCTTTAAGAAAAGTTTCTGACGCCAGAGTCCTGTGATTCGCAGTCCTTCCCCTTCCCTGAAAAAATTGTGCAATGAATAAAAAGGGCTTTTCTTGTGATCCGGGTGGTGGTGTTTCATACACAGTGGCTGTGATTCACCGACTTGATTACACTATGCAACACAATTTTTGGTCCTGGGTGATAAATGTTGCTTCCTAATTGGTTCTGTCATTAAAAATATGGAGAAAGGTTATTAAACTGCAAAAAACTTGGTTTCTGAGGGACATTATCCTGCAGCACATTTTGCAATAGCAAGGCAGGAAACCAATCATAGCCACATTAGGCTATAAACTACTTTATTTTACAGCTATATACATTAGAAGCTACTTAACACACAGCACATCGTAAACTTGCTCCTTTGCTGTCCGATCATAACATTGCGAACACACAAACTGCTGTCTGTTATCAGTACTAGTCCACACCTCTTGCATTCCAGAGTGACGTGTGACGTACGATGCTGTCTGTTATCAGTACTAGTCCACACCTCTTGCATTCCAGAGTGACGTGTGACGTACGATGCTGTCTGTTATCAGTACTAGTCCACACCTCTTGCATTCCAGAGTGACGTGTGATGTACAATGCTGCAACCATTTGTTCTATACACTTGATTTATGACCTCTCTAGGAATGCCGTTCCCTCCATTTTTCAGTTAACTCTTTCCACACAGGAATACACTCGGCACATAGCTACTGCATTTTAAACATACATACATACATACATACATACATACATACATACTTTGAAATCTACATTATAAATTGCAAACAGCTTCAGCATATCTCATCGAGTGGGAACCGATTCAATGTTTTACTGTATCAGAGATAAGGTTTTTTACACTCCAGACTCTTAATTTGTTATTTTTAGAGGAAGGGCCAGTTTCCAGAAGGCTTTGGCACCATCCTGGGCCCAATGGTAGAGGGTCATGGGTGTTGTAGCTGACACATTTTGCAATGTTCAAAGGTACCTCAGTCCTGCCATAAAGTGGCAACATAAAGCAATAACACAAATGTCCCATTCTCTGGCAAGTTTTTGACAGCATGGAAAGAAGGAAGAGAAACATATAGCACTACATGTAGGCAATAAAAGTTGCTAACTCGCCCACTTCATAGGAATTCAGTTACAAAACAGGAGCTTTTTTGTTGAGTTCCAGGGCCGGAGAAGCAGATGGCGAAGACAGAAGAATGGCCTACTTCAGGGGAGCGTGCTTGCTCCATCAATATTTAGCATTTACACAAATGATTAGCCAAAGCCAGAAGGGACAGAGATTTCATCTACACTGACGATCACGCCATCACCGCCCGAGCAGGGAGCTTTGAGATGGTTGAACAGAAGCTCTCTGAAGCTTTAAGCACTCTTACTGCTTATTACAGGGAAAGGCAGCTGATTCCTAATATTTACACAAATGATCAGCCACTGTCAGAAGGGACAGATAGTTTCATCTACGCTGACAATCATGTCATCACCGCCCAAGCAGGGAGCTTTGAGATGGTTGAACAGAAGCTCTCTGAAGCTTTAGGCGCTCTTACTGCTTATTACAGGGAAAACCAGCTGATTCCTAATGTTTAACATTCACACAAATGATCAGCCACTGTCAGAAGGGCAGAGAGTTTCATCTACGCTGACGATCATGCCATCACCGCTCAAGCTTTGAAATGGTTGAACAGAAGCTCTCTGGAGCTTTAGGTGCTCTTGCTGCCTTATAGGGAAAACCAGCTGATTCCTAATGTTTAACATTGACACAAATGACCAGCCATTGCCAGAAGAGACAGGGAGTTTCATCTATGCTGATGATCGTGCCATCACCGCCCAAGTAGGGAGCTTTGAAATGCTTGAACAGAAGCTTTCCAAAGCTTTAGGTGCTCTTACTGCCTATTACAGGGAAAACCAGCTGATTCCCAATCCATCTAAAACACAGATGTGTGCTTCTCACCTTAAGAACAGACAAGCATCCCGAGCTCTGAGGATGACCTGGGAAGGAACACACAAATACCTGTTGCATCTCAGGGTAGAACCAACTTGCTTAGGACACCAAAGAACACATCAGCAGTTGACTTTGTAGTTTTATTTAAAATAAAAGACAAAAAGTTCACAAAACAAAAGTATATTTCAAAAAATCAATCCAAGGTAACATAGGCAAACAAGATCCATGAAAACACAGGCAAGGCAAAGTCCCTTGAAAACATAACAAAGTCTTTAAACATGAACATGAAAAGCTACAAGTCTCTTGGTTGAAGCGGGAAGTTGCTATGACACTGAGGCACATTCAAACAGTCTGTGTAATACTCTTGGGCCAACACGAAGGCATTCCTATGGCCTCTCTCACCTCCTGGCGATCCAACACTCCTTCACACTTTCAATTCCAAGCGATCAGCCCTATCTAAATCACCGGCCCCATCGAGGTCAAATCCCTCATTAGCTGGCTGAGAACTATCCTCCCTTTCTGCATCCTCCCTTCCTTCACTCTCAGTCGTTTCACTTTCCGTCAACCCTCGCTGTGGGAAACAACGGAACTTCTGCCCCTTGGTCCTGGTCTTCCTCATCTAACACAGGAACATCCTTGCTTTGCATCTGACTCTGACTCTGAATCTCATCATCTCCATCAGAATCATTGACACCATCACCCAGTGATTCCAGCTGAGTCACAACAATACCTGAGAGTCACTCTGGACCGTGTTCTGACTTGAATATTAAGCAAAAAAAAAATTGGACTCTAGAAATAATATTATGTGAAAGCTGACTGGCACAACCTGGGGTTCACAACCAGACACAGTTACGGCATCTGCCCTTGCACTTTGCTACTCTGCTGCTGAATACGCATACCCAGTGTGGAACACATCCCACCACGTTAAAACAGTGGACGTGGCTCTTAATGAGACATGCTGCATTATCACACAATGTCTACATCCTACGCCACTGGAGAAATTACACTGTTTAGCCGGTATTGCACCACCTGACATCCGTCGGGAAGTAGCAGCCCGTAATGAAAGGACCAAGGCAGTGACATCTCCAGCTCATCCTCTGTTAAGATGTCGGACAACATGCCAATACTTTAAATCATATTATATAATGTTATATTGAATATAACCTTTGGAGGTTTGGCCATCTGTCGGGAGGTCTTTGATGGTGTCTCCCTGTCTGACAGAAAGGGGTTGGACTGGGGGCCTCTTCCAGTTCTCGTATATTGTGATCCCAGCTTAGATTTCTTTGTCTCAGTCCTTGAGACTGACTGCCTCTCCTCCAACCCGAAGGAGCGCTGGGTTATTTTGAGCGGGGAATGCAGCAAAGCCTGATCTCAGGCCAACTCCTGTTTTCACCCTCCAAGCGGTTGGTGTCAGATTTATAGAGTAGGTCCCAAAATACATGGCTGACACAAAACAAAAGGAATGGCAGAACGGGATGTGCGTCTTTGGAGTGTAACTATGGAGGTTGTTGTCAACGAGTGGCATTGCTGTACTATCTAAGCCCAAAGAAAACAGGTTACATGCAGACCTTGGGAGGCAAAGAAATTCATACAAATCCCAGAATGCTAAACAACAGTTTCCAGAGGTCCTACTTGCAGGGGATTCCCAAAATAATCTCTACCCTAAGTTTTATTTATAGATACACCAGCTTCGCCCTACCTAGCACCTCTATTTCTTGTATCCCAGTATTCAACGCCTTCAATACTCTTGGGTGTAGTTGATTTGGCCCTGGGGACTTGAACTCATTAAGAGCAGCCAGGTATTCCTGGACAACTTGTTTCCCAATTTGGGGTTGGATGTCCTCTAATCCCTCATCCACTCCATCTTGCTGAGGTTGAAGATGACTTTCTTTTTGTGAGAAGACCGAGGCAAAGAAGGCATCGAGCAGTTCTGCCTTCTCCCTACCCCCTGCCAGCATTGCCCCATCTTCTCCGCGAAGAGGTCCTATCGCCTCCTTATTCTTTTTTTCTACTGAAATAAGAAAAGAAGCCCTTTTTATTGTTTTTAATGTCCCTCGCAAACCCAAGCTCATTTTGTGCTTTAGCCTTACGGACCTTTTCCCTACAGGAGTTGGCTATTTGTTTACATTCTTCTTTGGTGATTTCTCCCTTTTTCCACTTCTTGTGCATGTCTCTTTAGAGTCTTATCACAGTTAGACGTTCTTTGGACATCCATTCTGGCTTCTTTGCACTAGTCCTATTTTTTCTCTGTGTTGGCACTGTTTGCAATTGCACCTTGAGTATTTCACTCCTAAAAAACTCCCATCCATCCGTAACTCCCTTGTCTTTTACTATCTGTGTCCACGGAATGCTGCTCAGTGTTTCCTTCCTTTTTAGGAAATCAGCTCTCCTAAAGTCCAAAATGCGGGTTTGACTTGTCTTATTTTCGACCTTCCTTTGTACCTCAAATTGCAGGAGCACATGGTCACTTGCCCCTAAGGATCCGACCGCTTCGACCGCATCGATCAGGTCCTCCGCATTTGTTAGGTTGAGATCAAGAGTAGCCAATCCCCTTGTTGCCTCTTCTACCTTCTGGACCATGAAATTGTCTGCAAGGCAAGCGAGGAATTTGTTGCTTTCTGCCTGGAGGTATCCTATGTTGGGAGGTGATTATCTGGCAATGATTGCATCCTGACTGGAAATCCCAATTTTTCTGTTTCCAGACAGGAAACAATCGGGCCAGCTAATACCTTCCAACAAAGGATTCCCTTGGGCCTTGAGGTATCCCCCCCCTTCCTGCCTTGAGGTATCCTGTGTTGGGAGGGGTTTACTGGCTCTGATTGTATCCTGTCTGAAAATCCCATTTTCTGTTTACAGACAGGAAACAATCGGGCCAGCTAATACCTCCCAACAAAGGATTCCCCAGGCCTTGAGGTATCCCCCCCCCTTCCTGCCTTGAGGTATCCTATGTTGGGAGGTGTTTACTGGCCCTGATTGTATCCTGTCTGAAAATCCCATTTTCTGTATACAGACAGGAAACAGTCAGGCCAGCTGATACCTCCCAACAAAGGATTCCCCCAGGCCTTGGGGTATCCCCTCTTCCTGCCTTGAAGTATCCTATGTTGGGAGGTGTTTACTGGCCCTGATTGTATCCTGTCTGAAAATCCCGTTTTCTCTTTACAGACAGGAAACAATCGGGCCAGCGAATACCTCCCAACAAAAGATTCCCCCAGGCCTTGAGGTATCCCCCCCTTCCTGCCTTGAGATATCCTATGTTGGGAGGTGTTTACTGGCCTTGATTTTATCCTGTCTGAAAATCCCATTTTCTGTTTACAGACAGGAAACAATCAGGCCAGCTAATACCTCCAAACAAAGGATTCCCCCAGGCAGGAAGCAGCCAGGCTTTGAAGCTGCAAGGCTATTAAATGCTAATCAGGGTGGTTGAAGTGCAGTATTCACACTTGCCTCAAGCAGACAAAAGTTCATTCTTCCATCCTGGATATTATTCCATAGATATATACCCCACTTGCTTTGTTTCCAGCAGACCTCACATACTCTGGGGATGCCTGCCATAGAGGTGGGAGAAACGTCAGGAGAGAATGCTTCTGGAACATGGCCAGATAGGAAACCTAGTGATTCCGGCCAACACATTGTAATTCTTATAATAACTATACTGGGACGATAACCCTCTTGGGTTGTTGTACACTTGGGGTTCTGAGAGTCGTAATCCAGCCTCCCATGGTTGCGTTTCCCGGGGATGATGGAGACAGTAATCCAGTATTGCTGGGAAGGTGAGAATTAAGCTTGCCTTGCTCTTCATCCTTTAAGAGCTTGTCCCAGCTGCTTTTCTCTGGAAGCTTAGCCAAGGCTGCTCCATCTTCAAAAATTCACTCACTCATTATTATTAGTATTATATTGTATTACATTATAATATTATAAATATTATATGTATATACAGTACAGGGCAAGATAGATGAATGGGATCCGTGAAGTGACTGGATTGACCTTGAAGGAGCTGGGGGAGGTGACGGCCGACAAGGAGCTCTGGCGTGGGTTGGTCCATGAGGTCACAAAGAGTTGGAAACAACTGAATGAACAGTATATTTTATATATATATAATTAGTATAGCACATTTTGTAGAATTATAGAGTTGGAGGAGACCCGAAAGGCCCATCCAGTCCAACTCCCTGCCATTCAGGAAAAGCACAACCAAAGCACTCCCAACAGATGGCCATCCAGCCTGGCAGATGGTAATTTTTTCAGCGCCAATTGTGTTTAAGTGCAGGCCAAGGTCTTGAGGCACTGCACCCAGTGTGCCCATCACCACTGGGACCATCTTGACTGGCTTGTGCCAGAGTCTTTGCAGTTCGATCTTCATTATTATTATTATTATTATTATTATTATTATTTGATACACAACAAGATGAGTCCACAGCAGACTCTCTGCTGACTGTTGTATTGAATCACACGTCGGACACTTCCCAAATGTCTAGGACCGTGTGATGTATCGGCGAATAATGTGCGCAGATCCCAGTACGGTGGCCTTCTGCAGCTGTCAGATGGTAATTTTGTCAACGCCAATTGTTTTTAAGTGCAGGCCAAGGTCTTGAGGCACTGCACCCATTGTGCCGATCACCACTGGGACCACCTTGACTGGCTTGTGCCACAGTCTTTACAGTTTGATCTTTAAATCCTCATATCGTGACAGCTTTTCCAGTTGTTTTTAAAATGCAGGCCAAGGTCGTTAGGCACTGCACCTAGTGTGCCAATCACCATTGGGACCACATTGACCGGCTTGTGCCAGTTTTTGCAGTTCAATCTTTAAATCCTCATTTTGTGTTAGCTTTTCCAGTTGTGCAGGCCAGGATTCCGGCCATGAAAGCTTTCGACTGTCAGACTGTAGGATCTATATAGCAATATTAAATAACTACTCACAAGCCGACTTGCTTTGAAATGGATATATTGCTTGTATCTCCGCAGCAAAGAAAGACACTACTGACTTTTTCCCACCACCACTTCCTTGTATACACCTTTCATGCCCATCTCCCCCTCTTCTCAGTTTCCTTATTAGAACTTGTTGCTTCACAAGTTCCACAACATGCTGGCTTCAGAATGTCATGGAAGGAATTTGTCTTCATGCCATCAGAAATCGACTCCCGACATAGACAACACAATTAAACAACCGTTTTCGGGGGCCAAATGTTTAATGTTTTAGACGATGGAATGAAAGCGGCAACCAACCAACGAGCATCGGAACGAAGCTACAAATGGTATTGACTGCATTTTACACCCAAATGCCTTCCACAAAATCCCCTTGTTATGCTTGTTCAAAAGAGAGCTTTTCCTCTGCAAAAATCTGAATTCAAATGTTTTCTTGGATCATCTAATTCCGTACAGCAAAGACAACAAGTAGGACTATTCCCTGGAAAGGGTGTGTACAACTCTCGGGATTCATAGTATTGAGCGATGGCCATTAAAGTGGTGTTCAAACTGCATTTATTCTACAGTGTAGGCTGTTAGGAATTGTGGGAGCTGAAATCCAAAACACTTGGAGGGCCAAAGTTTGCCCATGCCTGATGTAGTAAAGGTAAAGGTAGTCCCCTGACATTAAGTCCAGTCATGTCTGACTCTGGGGCGTGGTGCACATCTCCATTTCTAAGCCGAAGAGCCAGCGTTGTCCGTAGACACCTCCAAGGTCATGTGGCCGGCATGACTGCATGGAGCGCCTACATGTCTGATGTAGACACACCTAAAAAATGGTTAAGAAAAATCAATGCACACAGGAGCCTCAAGGGGGCGCCATAATTCAATCACAACAACTGCTCCATAAGATACTGTTGTTTTGGTTGCATTATGGCGCCCTCTTGAGGCCACTGTGTGCATCGATCTTTTCTCCAACTGTTCGAGTTGCTGCTATAACATATTTGACGTCATAAGTGACCTAAAAATTATCAAAAGAGATTTAACCTCCCCAGCATATCCCATTATCCCCACTGAATAAATGTTCTGAGTTCTGGCATATTGATAATGACGATAATAATAATAATAATAATAATAATAATAATAATTTAATTAATTGTTGCAATCCAACACACCCTGCCAAGTCTTGGGCTCTATTCTCTTCCACTGGAAGGTAATGGGATTGCTGTTAACATTAGTGGTGGATTATGGAAATTGCAGTCCAACCTGTTTGGAGGGTGCGAGGTTGGAGGACTATAGTTCGCAGGAAAGATTGGAATTTGCAACAAATACCACAAGTGTGTGTATGCTATCAAAGCACAGGTGTCATGGATAAATATGATGTATGGTTTGAATGGAATTGTATGAAAGATGTATGGTTGGGGTCTATATCGTCTCGAGATACCATCCTAAGATGAGGCCTGGAGGTGAAGAATGTCAGCAGTTGCTGAACTGCTGACATTGATGACCTGTGACAAATGATTAACTGTTGACATTGCTGACTTGTTGACTTTTGGGGGGGGGGGACACAACATATTTACATCATCAGAGACAATGGCTGTTTAAGGGAATGTTTACAAGGTTCCTTACGTTCAGAAGGAAGTCAACACAAGGTTCCTTACGTTTGCTAACAGTAATTAGGCAGAGTCAGCATTTGCCAGGAAGTGAGATGAAGCCAGGATGTTTCAGGCTGGAAAATGGAACTGTAGAGGAGAGTCTACTGAACAAGCCAGTACCTGCCGCATGGAATTCAATGACTGCACGTTGCTTAAGTCGCATTGACTGACCGTCTGCGCAGGGTACCATACTTTGCACATTAACAACACAACGGTTCAATGCTAAGGCGTCCCGCCAAAATGGAACTGTAGAGGAGAGTCTACTGAACAAGCCAGTACTTGCCGCATAGAATTCAATGACTGCATGTTGCTTAAGTCGCATTGACTGAGCGTCTGCACAAGGTTCCATACTTCACACATTAACAACACAACTGTTCAATGCTAAGGCTTACCGCCAAAATGAAACTGTAGAGGAGAGTCTACTGAACAAGCCAGGACCTGCCGCATAGAATTAAATGACTGCACATTGCTTAAGTCACATTGACTGACCGTCTGCACTGCATGTTGCTTAAGTCACATTGACTGACCCTCTGCCCAGGGTGCCATACTTCGCACTTTAACAACACAACCGTTCAATGCTAAGGCTTCCCGCCAAAATGGAACTGTAGAGGAGAGTCTACTGAACAAGCCAGTACTGCCATCTGTTGAGGAGTTACGAAGCTGGAGGCATTACTTTTCATTCAACCCTTATTCAATTCAGAATGGATGCAGTTTCACACCACTTTAACCACTATTCGTATATGGTTTGCTGTTCAGAAGTAGAACTGGTGGAAGCTTTTTCTTTGGAGGCTTTGAAACAGAGGCCGGATGGCCATCTATCGGGGGTGCTTTGAATGTGATTTTCCTGCTTCTTGGTAGGGGGTTGGACTGGATGGCCCACCAGGTCTCTTCCAACTCTAGGATTCTATGATTCTATCATTCATTTACAACTTTGGAACAACACCAGCAAGAAATATTGCTATATAAGAGACCTTATTACAATCCAAAAATGGTGGCAGACCAGAGGAGTCCGACCCACCCGCCGTGCTCTTCCGCATGGGAAGATAAATGCAGTATTAATAAATGTATTATTGTCATCATCATCATCAAAATGCCAGAACCCGTGACATTTATTCAGTTGGATTACATATCCCACACAGCCATATGTGGAGTCTGGGAGTTGTAGTTCAGAAAGGGAGCTTTGTAATGAGCATTGAAATCGCGTTCCTTCCCGTCGCACACCTTCTTTGAGTATGAGATTTCAGTTCTAGTTGCAAAAGATTCAACCATTTCTTACGTTGGGATCAGAAGCCCTTGGAGAAAGTTGCAATGCTACAAATCCCATAACACAGTTTCCTTCTCGTCAAACCCGAAAAAGGATTGGTTGAGCTGTGGAGGCAAATTATTATTGTTACATCATGATTGGGACTCAATGTTGGCACTGTGATGCTAGTCCTCATGGTTTCCAAGAGGTAGCCCTCCCTTCCACGTCATTCCACGAACGACGAGTGCAACCCCCTCTTAAAAGTCTCTAATTGTATTTATTTATTTGCATCGCAGTGAAGAAAGTAAAGGGTGAAATGTTTGGGGATTCGTGTCTCCATCGCTGCAAGGAAGGGTCTTAATCGGAAATGGCTCGCCGCGTGGAGGAGGTAAAGACAACGCCCTTCTGTTCCTGCATTCTTCCATCCCTGTAAATAACAACAACAACAAGTAAATAACAACAACAAATGGCGATATTCCTTCCCCGGATTGGTTCTCCGCCTTCTGCTTTGCTATGGCTAAAATATCTCGAAGTGACTGTCACTCAAAGCTTTCCAGTGAGCAAATCAAAGGAAAAAAATTGCATCAAATGCCTTTTAGTGGTTTGGAAATATCGCAATTCGAGATATTGCAAAAAATTTCCAAGGCATTGTTGTGGTTGGTTTATGGCTCCCTCTAGGGACAGCTGTGAGTATTGCGGGTATAACATTTAGGAAATAGTATTGCTGAAGGCTTTCATGGCTGGAATCACTGGGTTGTTGTAGGTTTTTCGGGCTATATGGCCATGTTCTAGAAGCATTCTCTCCTGACGTTTCGCCTGCATCTATGGCAAGCATCCTCAGAGGTTGTGAGGTCTGTTGTCGAAGGCTTTCATGGCCGGAATCACTGGGTTGTTGTAGGTTTTTCGGCTATATGGCCATGTTCTAGAAGCATTCTCTCCTGACGTTTCGCCTGCTTCTATGGCAAGCATCCTCAGAGGTTGTGAGGTCTGTTGGAACTAAGAAGGCTTTCATGGCCAAAATGTTGTCGAAGGCTTTCATGGCCGGAATCACTGGTTTGCTGTGAGCTTTCCGGGCTGTATAGCCATATCCCAGAAGCATTCTCTCCTGACATTTCTCCCACATCTATGGTAGGCATCCTCAGAGGTTGTCAGGTTTCCAGGTCTGAAAATTCACAGCAAACCATTATTATTATTATTATTATTATTATTATTATTATTATTGGGTTGCTGTGAGTTTTCAGGTCTGTCTGGCCATGTTCCAGAAGCATTCTCTCCTGACATTTTCCCCACATCTATGGCAGGCATCCTCAGAGGTTGTGAGGTTTCCAGGTCTGAAAATTCACAGCAACCCATTATTATTATTATTATTATTATTATTGGGTTGCTGTGAGTTTTCAGTTCTGTCTGGCCATGTTCCAGAAGCATTCTCTCCTGACGTTTCACCCACATCTATGGCAGGCATCCTCAGAGGTTGTGAGGTTTCCAGATCTGAAAATTCACAGCAAACCATTATTATTATTATTTATTATTATTATTTATTGGGTTGCTGTGAGTTTTCCGGGCTGTATAGCCATGTTCCAGAAGCATTCTCTCCTGATGTTTCGCCCACATCTATGGCAGGCATTCTCAGAGGTTGTGAGGTTTCCAGGTCTGAAAATCCACAGCAACCCATTATTATTATTATTAGTATTATTATTATTATTGGGTTGCTGTGAGTTTTCAGGTCTGTCTGGACATGTTCCAGAAGCATTCTCTCCTGACATTTCACCCACCTCTATGACAGGCATCCTCAGAGGTTGTGAGGTCTGTTGGAAACTAGGCAAGTGTGGTTTATATATCTGTGGAATGTCCAGGGTGGGAGAAAGAACTCTTGTCTGTCTGTGGCAAGTGTGAAGTTTGCCATTGGCCACCTTGATTAGCATTGGATGGCCTTGCAGCTTCAAAGCCTGGCTGTTTCCTGCCTGAGAGAATCCTTTGTTGGGAGGTATTAGCTGATTGTTTCCTGTCTGGAAACAGTAAACAGGGATTTCCAGTCAGGATACAATCAGTGCCAGCTAATCACCTCCCAACATAGGATACCTCCAGGCAGGAAGCAGCCAGACTTTGAAGCTGCAAGGCCATTCAATGCTAAGGTGGCCAATGGCAATATTCACACTTGGCTCAAACAGACAAGAGTTCTATCTCCCACCCTGGACATTATTCCACAGATATATAAACACCATTTACGTAGTTTCCAACAGACCTCACAACCTCTGAGGATGCCTGCCATAGATGTGGGTGAAATTCAGGAGAAAATGCTTCTGGAGCATGGCCAGACAGCCTGGAAAATTCACAGCAAACTAGTGATTCCGGTTCGACAACACAACTTCATAAATGTTATACCCGCAATACCCACAGCTGCCCCTGGGGGGAGGCATAACCCAACCACAACAATGCCTTGGAACATACAACTCGGAAAATTCAGAGCAACCCAATTTTCTATGTTGTTATAATAGAACCAATTAGGAAATTAGGAACAAAAATCATGTTACATAGTGTTATTATTATTGTTATTGTTATTACCGGTAATAATTATTAGAATCAACCTCTCTCTGCTCAGCACACTACAGATTGGAGTAGCAGCAGCACAGCAAGCCAGCAGGGTAGAGATTATTATTTTTTATCTATTATTATTATTATTATTATTATTATTATTATTATTATTATCATTATTTGCCTCCCCCTGCTCAGTGCACTACAGATTAGAGTAACAACAGCACAAAAAACTAGGATAGAGATCATTTCGGGGCATTATTATTATTATTATTATTATTATTATTATTATTAGAGTAGGCCCCTCCGTTCTCAGAGTAACAACAGCACAACAAACCAGCAAGGTAGAGATAATTTTGGGGCATTATTATTATTATTATTATTATTACAGTAGGCCCCTACATTCTCAGATTAGAGTAACAGCAGCACAGCAAACTAGCAGGGTAGAGATAATTTTGAGGCATTATTATTATTATTATTATTATTATTATTATTATTATTATTAGAATAGGCCCCTCCATTCTCAAGATTGGAGTAACAGCAGCACAACAAATCAGCAGGGTAGAGATAATTTCGGGGCATTATTATTATTATTATTATTATTATTATTATTATTAGAGTAGGCCCTTCCATGCTCTGATTGGAGTAGCAGCAGCACAACAGCCCAGCGGGGCAGAGCGTTTGGGCCTTGCGACGCCAAGGGGTACCTCCGTTGGGTGGAAGACAACAGGTCGGCCTCCCATCTCGGCCTGCATCTCACCGTATTCTCTTCGCCACGATCCAACCGGCCAGGAAGACGCCCAAGCAGCCCAAGAGCACCCCAAAAATGATGGCCACAATCTCACCTGGGATGAGAACGGCGAGAGAGAGAAACTGTCAGAATTATTGAAGGTATGCATGTATGTTTTTTCAATGTGATTAATATGTAATTCAAGATGGGTTAAAATATGTATTCAGGAAGGATAATTGTGTATTGGAATTGTTGTTGTAAGAGACAGAGAGGCAGAGAAGAAAAGACCTTGATAGAAGTTCGATAACGAATGTCTCTGTCTGGGAAGAATTAGGGAGTAGCCGGCTTACAGCCAAAGTGAAACTGATAAGCAGATGTTCTGAATACTGTTTTGTGCTGTGCTTTGTCGTTCCTGATGTAAGCTCGCTTGGAAATAGACGTGTAGACATATACTGAGTAAAAACTTTGTTATTTTCTGAAGCTGGCAGACTGCAGTGTCCTGTTTTGTGTCTGTGTGATCTAGTAACCTCAACTCCGACTCCAGGGTCTCACTCTGTCAGAAACAACATAAGGAACATTATACGAACGACGAGTGGGAGCCTCGAAAAAGGGGGAACGCATGCCCTCTAATGCGAGCATGGGCAAACTTTGGCCCTCCAGGTGTTTTGGACTTCAACTCCCACAATTCCTAACAGCCTACATTAGTATTATCCCACCAACGGAAGACAGGGAGGCCAAACTTACCTGCGGAATATCCAGAAGGAGCTGAAATACACAAAAAAATAGATATTAATCAACTGTTTGAAAGAATGTTTTGCTCAAAAACTACAGTATCCTCAGCTTTCCTAAGACTTTCAATACTTGGAGACAGAACTTGAGCATCCTTTACAGTTCGGACTAAAACCCGGAGCAAATGCCAACGCAGCTTAGGGCGTCCCACGATATGATGCCTTCTATATTTTTATTTGTTTACAGTATTTATATTTCGCCCTTCTCACCTGGATCACAGAACACATATACATCAAACATTCAATGCTGTTGAGCAATTACGAAGGTGGAGGCATTGCTTTTCATTCAACCCTCGTATATATCTCTATCTATGTAGAGCTGTCTGTCTTGTTAATGCTGTTATACACTGACAAGAGAGACAGCTCTACATAGATAGAGGTATATATGAGGGTTGGATGAAAAGTAATGCCTCCACCTTCGTAACTGCTCAACAGTGCTGAAATGCAGTAGGTACTGGCTTGTTCAGTAGACTCCCCTCTACAGTTCCATTTTGGCAGGAAGCCTTAGCATTGAACGGTTGTGTTGTTAAAGTGCGAAGTATGGAACCCTGCGCAGACGGTTTGTCAATGCGACTTAAGCAACATATGCGGCAGGTACTGGCTTGTTCAGTAGACTCTCCTCTACAGTTCCATTTTGGCGGGAAGCCTTAGCATTGAACGGTTGTGTTGTTAAAATATGTGACAAGAGAGACAGCTCTACATAGATAGAGGTATATATGAGGGTTGGATGAAAAGTAATGCCTCCACCTTCGTAACTGCTCAACAGATGGCAGTACTGATATGCAGTAGGTACTGGCTTGTTCAGTAGACTCTCCTCTACAATCCCATTTTGGCTGGAAGCCTTAGCATTGAACGGTTATGTTGTTAAAGTGCAAAGTTTGGAACCCTGCGCAGACGGTCGGTCAATGCGACTCAAGCAACATATGTGGCATTTCCTGTTTCATTGAGTGGTCTTTGAAAATGTCACTCCAGAAGCGGGGAAAAGCAAGTGGAGTAAATTCCTTCCTTCTCTGGTTTAAAACTGGCTTCTCTGGCTTGAGCCGAGGCCAGGAAATTATTCCTTTTCTGGTTTAAAACAGATGCCCGCAACAACATAAAATACAATTCAGCAAATAATATAAACAAAATATAATAATATAAATAATATAAACAATAATAATATAATGATGATGATGATGTAATGCAATATAATACTAATAATTTACTAATAATAGTAAATAATTTACTGTTATTTATATTATATTGTTATTATATTATTCCTATTTATAATTCTAAGGTAGAGAGGAAGGACGGTAATACCTGGGATTAATTATTATTATTTTAATAATACTATGATATTATTGGGTCGTTGTAGGTTTTTTCGGGCTATATGGCCATGTTCTAGAGGCATTCTCTTCTGACGTTTTGCCTGCATCTATGGCAAGCATCCTCAGAGGTGGTGAGGTCTGTTGGAACTAGGTATATATGATATTATTATTTATATTATTTACTATTTATAATTATTATATTTTATATTATTACTATTTATCATTATTAACTTTCTCAAATCTCAACAGACATGATATAAAAAGAAGCAAAACAATTAATTTTGTGGGACGTTCGGCATCCCCTTCCGTTCATAATTCTCATTTGTGATTTCTTCAATTACAGTAATCAATTAAAAAAACTTGGGATTCATCAATACCTATTTATTCCACCAGATGGCACTCTTGCCTAAGCAATGAATATGCCTTCCTAGAATTCAGTGTAATGCTAAAATGTGTCCACACTGTGAAATTAAAGCAGTTTGATACCACTTGATACCACTACCTTGACTTAAGAGCATTGCCTTGAGGTTCAGCGACATACAATCTATCCATGATGTTCCCAAAGAGAGACTTACTCGTAAGGAAAGAGGAGTAAATGACCCGTTGGTTCACGTTTTGGGGGTCTCGGAAGTTATCCACCAGAAGCGCCTCAGGCATCTTGCCTTCGTCCGTCGCGTACAACGATTTCTGTAGTTTCTCCAGCTAGAAAAGAGATGGGGACCCCCATAAAAACTCAATCCGGAACCTCTAGACATCTATCATTACAAGACAGAGGCTCCATTCCCACACTGACCATTTAAACCAGTTTCAAACTGGTTAATGTTGTGGTTTCCCACTTTGGGACTCTGGTGCTCATCTCCATTTCTAAGCCAAAGAGCCGGCGTTGTCCGTAGACACCTCCAAAGTCATGACTGCATGGAGCGCCTTTACCTTCCCGCCAGAGCAGTACCTATTGATCTACGAACATTTGCATGTTTTCAAACTGCTAGGTTGGCAGAAGCTGGGACTAACAGCGGGAGCTCACCCCGCTCACTAGATTTGAACCAGTCATGACTGCATGGAGCGCCTTACCTTCCCGCCGGAGCTGTAACTATTGATCTACTCACATTTGCATGTTTTCGAACGGTTAGGTTTTCAGGAGCTGGGGCTAACAGCGGGAGCTCACCCCACGCCCTGGATTTGAATCAACAACCGGCATTACTGCATGGAGCGTCCTTACCTTCCCGCCGGAGCTGTAACTATTGATCTACTCACATTTGCATGTTTTCGAACTGCTAGGTTTTCAGGAGCTGGGGGTAACAGCGGGAGCTCGCCCCCTCCCCTCTTCCCCCCCCTCCCTCTCCTCTCTCCTCCTCCTTCTCTCCCCCTTTGGTAGGTCAGCTCCTGCCAACCAAGCAGATCAAAAACATGTAAATGTGAGTAGATCAATAGGTACCACTCCGGCGGGAAGGTAATGTTGCTTATGCCAGTTCCCCTTCTATTTACAGTCAGTTATTATTATTATTTATTTATTTATTTATTTACTTTGCTTATATACCGCTGTATCTCAAGCCCGAAGGCGACTCACAGCGGTTCACAAACAGTAAAAACAGTAGAAACAGCAGTCGTTCCATGCAACATATAACAATTGACTTAACACATTATCCATAAATTACCAATAAGCAATTACAATGCACAATTATTACAAAAAACAACCGTACCCAATCTTCTCATCATCCAAGCGTAGTCCAGGTTCGTCGTCCCTTGTTCCATTCCTATGTTCCATTACCAGATTGCACTAAATTACTCAAACGCCTGCACAAACATCCAGGTCTTCACTTTTTTGCGGAATACCATTAGAGATGGTGCTAGTCTAATGTCCGTAGGAAGGGCATTCCACAGCCGAGGAGCCACCACCGAGAAGGCCCTATCTCTCGTCCCCGCCAGCCGAGCTTGAGAAGCAGGCGGGATCGAGAGCAGGGTCTCCCCGGAAGATCTCAAAGTCCTGGTGGGTTCATAGGCAGAGATGCGGTCAGATAGGTAGCTTGGGCCGGAACCGTTTAGGGCTTTAAAGGCCAACGCCAGCACTTTGAATTCAGCCCGGTAGCAGATCGGTAGCCAGTGGAGTTGGCGCAACAGGGGGGTTGTATGCTCCCTGCGCTCCGCTCCTGTTAAAATCATGGCTGCCGAGCGGTGGACTAGTTGGAGCTTCCGAGCTGTCTTCAAAGGCAACCCCACGTAGAGAGCGTTGCAGTAGTCTAAACGGGATGTAACCAGAGCGTGGACTACCGTGGCCAAGTCAGACTTCCCAAGGTACGGGCGCAGCTGGCGCACAAGCTTTAGCTGTGCAAATGCTCCCCTGGTCACCGCGAAACCTGGGGTTCCAGGCTCAGCGATGAGTCCAGGGTCACACCCAAGCTGCAAACCTGCGTCTTCAGGGGGAGTGCGGCCCCATCCAACACAGGCTGTAACCCTATGCCCTGTTCGGCCTTGCGACTGACCAGGAGGACCTCTGTCTTGTCTGGATTCAATTTCAATTTGTTCGCCCTCATCCAGACCGTCACAGCGGCCAAGCACCGGTTCAGGACCTGGACAGCCTCCTTAGTAGCAGGTGGAAAGGAGTGACAGAGTTGGACATCATCCGCGTACAGATGACACCGTACCCCGAAACTCCGGATGATCTCCCCCAGCGGCTTCATGTAGATGTTAAACAACATGGGAGACAATATTGAGCCCTGAGGAACCCCACAAGATAATGGTTGTGGGGTTGAACAGGTGTCCCCCAACAACACCTTCTGAGATCGACCCTCCAGGAATGACCGGAGCCACTGCAAAACAGTACCTCCAAGACCCATCCCTGCGAGGCGTCCCAGAAGGATACCGTGGTCGACGGTATCGAAGGCCGCTGAGAGGTCCAGCAGCACCAACAGGGACACACTCCCCCTGTCGAGCTCCCGGCGCAGATCATCCACTAAGGCGACCAAGGCTGTCTCGGTACCATGTCCCGGCCTAAAGCCAGACTGTGCCGGATCCAGATAATCCATGATCATAATAGAATACCAGTAGTAGTAGTAATAATAGTAATAATAAATAGAATCATAGAGTTGGAGCTCCTGGTGGTGCAGCAGGTTAAACCGCTGAGCTGCTGAACTTGCTGACCGAAAGGTTGGTTGATCAAATCCAGGGAGTGAGGTGAGCTCCCACTATTAGCCCCAGCTTCTGCTAACCTAGTAGATCAAAAACATGTAAATGTGAGTAGATCAATAGGTAGCGCTCCGGCGGGAAGGTAATGGTGCTTATGCCGGTTGACCTTTTATTTACAGTCAGTTATTATTATTATTATTATTATTATTATTATTATTATTATTATCATAGATCGTAATAGAATAGTAGTAGTAATCATAATAATAAGTAGTAGTAGTAATAATAATAATATTTGTGTGTATGTGTGTGTGTGTGTGTGTCAGGAGCATCACTTCTGGTGTGAGAGAATTGGCCGTCTGCAAGGACGTTGCCCAGGGGACACTGGATGATTTGATGTTTTTATCATCCTTGTGGGAGGATTCTCTCATGTCCCCGCATGAGGAGCTGGAGCTGATAGAGGGAGCTCATCCGCCTCACCCCGGATTCGAACCTGCTACCTGTCAGTCTTCAGTCCTGCCAGCACAGGGGTTTAGCCCGCTGCGCCACCGGGGGCTCCATAATAATATTAATATTAATAATAATAATAATAATAATAATAATAATAATAATAAATAGAAACATAGAGTTGGAGCTCCCGGTGGTGCAGCAGGTTAAACCACTGAGCTGCTGAACTTGCTGACTGAAAGGTCGGCAGTTCAAATCCAGGGAGCGGGGGTGAGCTCCCACTGTTAGCCCCAGCTCCTGCTAACCTAGCAGATCAAAACCATGTAAATGTGAGTAGATGAATAGGTACATCTCCAGCGGGAAGGTAATGGTGCTCCATGCAGTCATGCTGGCCACATGACCTTGGAGGTGTCTGCGGACAACGCCGGCTCTTTGGCTTAGAAAGGGAGATGAGCACCAACCCCCAGAGTTGGAATCGATTATACTTCATATCAGGGGGAAAGTTTTAACTCTATCTTTACCAGGCTTGGGCAAACTTCAGCCCTCCAGGTGTTTTGGACTTCAACTCCCACAATTCCTAACGCCCTCAGGCTCTTTCCTTTCCCCCCTCAGCCTGGTCCAGACCGTACTGCAAATGGGAAGTCCAAAGCTTTGAAACCGAAAGGATGATAATGATGATGAGGTGGGCTACCTGGCTGGCGGAGATGCTAGCCGGCTGGTGGAAGACGGTCCAGAGGACGCTCTGGTAGCATGGCGGGGTGGTCAGCGAGCCGTTGTAGCGGAAATAGTGGCCCAAATGCGCCGGGAGGAGCTCGCGGACGTCGAAAGGATCAATCTGTATTTCCTGTTCTGGCCCGGTCCGGAGGTGGGATGGAGGGAAGGAGAGACGGCGAGAAAAAGAGCAAGAGGGAGGATGAAACACCTGTATTGGCGAAGGAAAAACCCAAACGAAGCATCCCTATCATGCCTTTGCATCACAGAATAATAATAATAATAATAATAATAATAATAATAATAATAATAATAATTTACTGACACAAAAGCACAGTATATCACATCAAACGAGATCTATAGAGCTCCAACTCTATGATTCTATTTATTATTATTATTATTATTATTATTATTATTATTATTATTACTATTCTATATGCTGGATCAAAAAATCACGTCAAACACTTCCCAAGTATCTAGGACTGTGTGATGTATAATAATAATAATAATTATTATTATTATTATTTGGGCACCCTAGTGGCGCAGCTGGTTAAACCGCTGAGCTGCTGAACTTGCTGACCGAAAAGGTCTCTGGTTCAAATCCGAGGAGCAGGCCAAGCTCCCACTGTTAGCCCCAGCTTATGCCAACCTAGCAGTTCAAAAACATGCAAATGTGAGTAGATGAATAGGTACCGCTTCTGCAAGAAGGTAACAGCGCTCCATGCGGTCGACCTTGGAGGTGTCTACGGGCAACTCTGGCTTGGAAGGGACCCTAAAGGTCATCCAGTCCAACCCTTCTGCCAGAAAGGAAGACACATGTAGCACAATCAAAAGCATGCCCATCCAACCTTTGTTTACAAATTTCCAAGAAAGGTGCTTCCACTGGATTTTCTGCCTCATCCTACATTTCTCCTTGTTGACATTCATTTTGTTACATACCATTTTGCACGTGCCATTGGGCCACCTTGAAACAGCCCTTTACCTTTATATTTGATGTCTTCCAGGTGTTGCAAGATGTGGTCATAAGCCGGATTTTCCTCCCCTCCAACCTGTCGGACACAAGGAAGAGAAGAAGACAGAGGTGAGATGGCTGCAGAGCATGAACATTTAATATTTCCATTATTGAATATAATTATTAAATAATCATATTATAATTAATATATATTATATTATAATTATGAACATTTAATATTTCTATTATTAAATATAATTATTACATAATTATATTATAATGAATATATATTATAATTATGAACATTTAATATTTCTGTTATTGAATATAATTATATTTTAATCAATATATTATATTATAATTCTGAACATTTAATATTTCTATTATTTAATATAATTATATTATAATCAATATATTATATTATAATTCAACATTTAATATTTCTATTATTTAATATGATTTTTAAATAATTATATTATAATTAATATGTTATATTATAATTATGAACATTTAATATATCTGTTACTTAATGTAATTATGAAATAATTACATTATAATTAATATATATTATATTATAATTCTGAACATTTAATATTTCTATTATTGAATAATTTAATATTTCCATTATTGAATATAATTATTAAATAATCATATTATAATTAATATATATTATATTATAATTATGAACATTTAATATTTCTATTATTAAATATAATTATTACATAATTATATTATAATGAATATATATTATATTATAATTATGAACATTTAATATTTCTGTTATTGAATATAATTATATTTTAATCAATATATTTATTTATAATAAGTATATTATAATATAATATATATTGATTATATTATAATCAATATATATTATATTATAATTATGAACATTTAATATTTCTGTTATTGAATATAATTATTACATAATCACATTATAATCTAATATATTATATTATAATTATGAACATTTAATATTTCTGTTATTGAATATAATTATTACATAATCACATTATAATCTAATATATTATATTATATATATATATATATAATAGAATATAGTTAATATTAATAGAAATATTAATATTTCTATTAATATTTCTCTCCCCATTGGAAAGAAAGAGGAATGGATGGATGTTCTTAATATCTTATAGGTCAGAGCTTTGGTTTCCCTCTTTGTTAGCTCCCCAAACATCATACCTTAATATCTGCCAGATATGGAGTTATTCCAAATGCCTTTTATTGACTTGGACAGCAAGGATGTGCATTGAAGTTCCCATTGTGGTGGTTTCTCTCCATGCCAGCAGGTGGCGCTGTGGCATCAAGGCATTCCAGGCACACAAATTGTGTTGCGTATAATAATTACGGCGCTCCATGCGGTCATGCTGGACACATGACCTTGGAGGTGTCTATGGACAACGCCGGCTCTTCGGCTTAGAAATGGAGATGAGCACCACACCCCAGAGTCAGACATGACTGGACTTAATATCAGGGGACAACCTTTTTTATATGACGAGTATATCCCAAACTCTATATTTTAGTTATACCCTGCCACCATCTTTCCCAATGGAGACTCGGGGCGGGGTTACCTGAGGCCAAGCCCAAACAACAAATTACAATAAAATAAAATGCAAATTACAATAAAATAAACAACATAAACAATAAACGATATACACATAACATTAAAAAAGCAGTATATTTGTTTTATAATGTTGTATAATTATGTATGAATATAATATATAATTATTATTATATTATTATAATTATATATAATTATACATATAGGTAGGTAAAGGTAGTCCCCTGACATTAAGTCCAGTCATGTCTGACTCTGGGGTGTGGTGCTCATCTCCATTTCTAAGCCGAAGAGCCAGCGTTGTCCGTAGACACCTCCAAGGTCATGTGGCCGGCATGACTGCATGGAGCGCCGTTCCCTTCCCGCCGGAGCAGTACCTATTGATCTACTCACATTTACATGTTTTCGAACTGCTAGGTTGGCAGGGGTGAGCTCCTGCTGTTAGCCCCAGCTCCTGAAAACCTAGCAGTTCGAAAACATGCAAATGTGAGTAGATCAATAGTTACCACTCAGGCGGGAAGGCATGTTTTCGAACTGCTAGGTTGGCAGAAGCTAGGGCTGACAGCAAAGCTCACGCCGCTCCCCGGAATTGAACCTGCGACCTTTCGATCAACAAGCTCAGCAGCTCAGTGCTTTAACCCACTGAGCCACCGGGGGGCCCTTAATTATACATATACAATTATACGTATGGATTTTAACCCGGAAGTCATTGATTTTTATATTTTTTTAAAACTGTTTTATTATGTGATTTAATCTGTTTTAAATGATGTATTTATAAGTGTGTTTGGCATCTAATGTTGCCAGTCTGAGTCGCCTTCGGGATGCAAAGGGCAGGATAAAAGGGTAGTAAATAAATAATAAATATACGCATATTATATATATTATATAATTATGTATTCTATATAATTTTATAATATAATTTTAATATATAATGTTGGGAGATAGTATTATCTAGAGCAGGCATGGGCAAACTTCGGCCCTCCGGGTGTTTTGGACTTCAACTCCCACAATTCCTAACAGCCGGTAGGCTGTTAGGAATTGTGGGAGTTGAAGTCCAAAACACCCGGAGTGCCGAAGTTTGCCCATGCCTGATCTAGAGTCAACAGTCCAGTGTTTCAAACCATGTTTGCATTGTCCTTTAGAGGAGACGCAGACTCACCTGTAGGAAAACACCCAAGACGGCCAGTCCGTCCGGTTGGCGTAAGGCTGCACTGACGTTGGCATACTTTTCGGAGTTGAAATGCACCACGTGGAGCTGGCATCCAATGAGAAAGAAAGTATTTATATTTCGCCCTTCTCACCCTGAAAGGGACTCAGAGCACATCACAGAACACATATATGGCAAATTCAATGCCATTATACACTGACAAGACAGACAACTGTACATAGATAGAGGTATATACAGGCTTTCCCATTTTGGGCATCTTGGAGGTCGTGCTCAGTTCTGGCCACCAGGGGTGCTGTTGCTCCACTTTCCCTGCCAAAGAGCTTTGTTTGTAAACTTCCCCCTTGGTTGAATCTCCGGCATTTTTCTGGCATTATGTTATGGGTGCCTTAAATTCCATATCACTTAGGCGATCCCTCGTTGTCCGAGTAGGATAATCTTCCAGGGTGGGTCCGTAGGTGGCTGTGGAGCCCTATTCTTGATCTGCATCTTCTCCCACAGTGAGGGCATCCGTTTCCAGGTGGAAGGCGATCCCGGACGGGGTTGGCTTGACGCACCTTCCTCTTGGCACGTTTCTCTCTTTCGCCCTCCATTCGTGCCTCTTCAAATTATGCAGCACTGCTGGTCACAGCTGACCTCCAACTGGAGTGCTCAAGGGCCAGGGCTTCCCAGTTCTCAGTGTCTATGCCAGAGTTTTTAAGGTTGACTTTGAGCCCATCTTTAAATCCCTTTTTCTGTCCACCAACATTGTATTTCCTGCTCTTGAGTTGACAGTATAGTAACTGCTTTGAGAGACGGTGGTTGGGCATCCAGACAACATGGCCGGTCGAGCGGAGTTGATGGCAGAGGACCATCGCTTCAGTGCTGGTGGTCTTTGCTTCTTCCAGCATGCTGATGTTTGTCAGCCTGTCTTCCCAAAAGATTTGCAGGATTTTTCGGAGGCTGTGCTGATGGAATCGTTCCAGGAGTTGCATGTGACGTCTGTAGACAGTCCACGTTTCACAGGCATATAGCAGGGTTGGGAGGACAATAGCTTTATAAACAAGTACCTTGGTATCCCTACGGATGTCCCGGTCCTCAAACACTCTCTGCTTCATTCGGAAAAATGCTGCACTTGCAGAGCTCAGGCGGTGTTGTATTTCGGTGTCAATGTTGACTTTGGTGGAGAGGTGGCTGCCAAGGGAGCAGAAATGGTCCATATTTTTTAATGTGACACCATTAAGCTGTATTTCTGGCATTGGAGAGGGGTTGACTGGTGACTGCTGGAACAGCACTTTGGTTTTCTCGATGTTCAGTGACAGGCCGAGCTTCTCGTATGCTTCTGCGAAGGTGTTTAGAGTGGCTTGTAGATCTTCTTCTGAATGCGCACAGACGACATTGTCATCAGCATACTGGAGTTCTATAACAGATGTTGTTGTAACCTTGGTTTTGGCTTTCAGTCTGCTGAGGTTAAACAGCTTGCCATCTGTCCAATAGATGATTTCCACTCCGGTGGGAAGCTTCCCGTCAACAAGGTGAAGTATCATAGTGATGAAGATGGAGAATAAAGTTGGGGCAATAACACATCCCTGTTTGATACCTGATTCCACCTTAAATGGGTCACTTTGGGAGGACGCAATGGAACAATGGCTTCAAACTACAAGAAAGGATATTAGGAAGAACTTCCTCACTTTGAGAGCTGTTCAGCAGTGGAACTCTCTGTCCCGGAGTGTGGTGGAGGCTCCTTCTTTGGAGACTGAAATAGACAGATAGCCATCTGTCGGGGGTGCTTTGAATGTGATTTTCCTGCTTCTTGGTAGGGGGTTGGACTGGATGGCCCACCAGGTCTCTTCCAACTCTAGGATTCTATGATTCTATCATTCATTTACAACTTTGGAACAACACCAGCAAGAAATATTGTTATATAAGAGACCTTATTACAATCCAAAAATTGCGGCAGACCAGAGGAGTCCGACCCACCCGCCATGCTCTTCTCCATGGGAGGGAGAGAGATAGTGTACCTCTCAGAGGGACAGGTCTGCAATGGAAAGCAGACGTCAATTTCTGCAAACTTTTCAAACTTTTTCAAGGGCCCGTTGACTTCTTCGGGTGTTCTTTCCTGGGTCTTTTTGCACGGCGTTAAACGGTCTCGATGCCGATGCCCTGTGGCATTTCTCACGGGCCTTTAAGCCGCTTATGAGTCTGGTGTGAACGGGTCATTTCAGGTTTTCCTTGGGCTTAGGAAGAAGGTGGCAAATCAACAAAAGTGTCGCTTTTCCCTTCCCTCCCTGTCTTAAGTCTCTTTCTCCCAGGTTGCTTTTTGTGCTAATCCTTCCTCGCCCCTTTTGGAAACCCGCGGAGACTTAATCCGGAAGAAATCCTCCATCCTTCTGGAACAATTACGCAAATTAGCAACGGCCAGGCTTTGGGATGCCAGGCGTGCCAAAGCCAAGGAAATGAAAAATTGCATCTTCACTATAGAACTGAAGCACGCTTTGACACTGCTATGGAAGCCTGGGAGTTGTGGTTCCATAAGGTCTTCCGCCTTCTCTACTGAAGAGCTCTGGAGCCACACCAAACTACAACTCCCAGGACTCCACAACATCGAGCCGTGGCAGTCTCCTCCTCTAGAGAATCTGGATGGCCATCTGTCAGGAGGGCTTGGGTGGTATTTTTCTGCCTAGAAGACAATTGGATTCTGTAATTCTATGATTCTGTAATTCTGTGATCCTTCTCTGTAGATTTGTAAACAGAGGCTGGATGACCATCTGTTAAGAGGGCTTTGATGGTGTCTTCCTGCCAAATATAATAATAATAATAATTTATTTATATACCACTCCATCTTGAATAACGATGATGATGATGATGATGATGATGATGATGATGATGATGCAGTCTCCTTCTCTGGAAGTTTTAAGGAGAGGCTGGACGGCCATCTGTTGGGAAGGCTTTGATGGTATCTTCCTGCTTTCCAACTCTAGGATCCTATCATTATCATAATGATCATAATAATATTTGATAAGTGTCTGGATGACCACCTGTTGGGAGGGCTTTGATTGTGTCCTCCTGCCTGGTAAAAAGGGGATGGACTGGATAACCCTTGAGGATCTCGTGTATGGTTCTGTGATCTTTCTCTGGAGGTTTGTAAACAGAGGTTGGATGGCCATCTGTCGGGAGGGCTTTGATGGTATCTTCCTGCCTTTCAGCTCAGAGATCCTATCATCATCATAATCATCATAGTTATTTTTGGTAAGAGTTTGGATGACCATCTGTCAGGAAGAATTTGATTGAGTCTCCCTGCCTGGTAGAAAGGCACTGGATTGAATGGTCCTTGAGGGTCACTTCTAGGATTCTGTGATCCTTCTCTAGAGGTTTGTAAACACAGGCTGGATGGCCATCTGTCGGGAGGGCTTTGATTGCCTATTCCTGTCTTCCAAATCTAGGATCTAATCATCATCATCATCTTGGATAGTAATGATGATAATAATGATTATGTAGTCTCCCTCCTTAGAAGTTTTAAGGAGAGGCTGGATGGCCATCTGTGAGGAGGGCTTTGATTGTGTCTTCCTGCCTTCCAAATCTAGGATCTAATAATAATCATCATCATCATCGTCGTTGTCGTCGTCGTCATCCTGGATAATAATGATGATTATAATAATGATGATGCAGTCTCCTTCTCTGGAAGTTTTAAGGAGAAGCTGGATGACCATCTGTCGGGAGGGCTTTAATTGTGTCTTCCTGTCTGGTAGAAAGGGGTTGGATTGGATAGCCTTTGAGGGTCTCTGCTATGATTCTGTGGTCCTTCTCTGAAGAGCCCTCTCGACAGATAGTCTGAATAGGTATCTGTCGAGAGGGCTTTGATTGTGTCTCCCTGCCTGTTAGAAGGGATGGACTGGAAGTTCCTTGAGAGTCTCTTCTATGATTCTTTGATCTTTCTCTGGAGGTTTGTAAACAGAGGCTGGATGGCCATCTGTTGGGAAGGCTTTGATTGTGTCTCCCTTCCTGGTAGAAAGGGGATGGACTGGATGAACCTTGAGGGTCTCGTCTATGGTCCTGGTATCCTTCTCTGCAGGTTTGTTTGTGTCTTCCTGTCTGGTGGAAAGAAGTTGGATTGGCTGGCCCTTGAGGGCCCCATCTATGATTCTGTGATCCTTCTCTGGAGGTTTGTAAACAGAAGCTGGATGGCCATCTGCCGGGAGGGCTTTGATTATGTCTCCCTGCCTGGTCGAAAGGGGATGGACTGGATGACCATTGAGGGTCTTGTTTATGGTTCTGGGATCTTTCTCTGGAGGTTTGTAAACAAGAGTCTGAATGACCATCTATCGGGAAGGCTTTGATGGTATCTTCCTGCCTTCCAGCTCTAAGATCCTATCACTATCATAATCATCATAGTCATATTTGATAAGAGTCTGGATGATCATCTGTCAGGAGGGATTTGATTGTGTCTCCCTGCCTGGTAGAAAGGGGTTGGATTGGATGGCCCTTGAGGGTCACTTCTATGATTCTGTGATCCTTCTCTGAAGGGTTGTAAACAGAGTCTGAATTGCCATCTGTCGGGAGAGCTTTGTTTGTGTCTTCCTGCCTGGTGGGATGGCCCGGAAGGCCCTTGAGGGCCCCTTCTATGATTCTGTGATTGTTCTCTGGGGGTTTGTAAACAGAGTCTGAATGGTCATCTGTCAGGAGGGCTTTGATTGTGTCTTCCTGCCTGGTGGAAAGGGGTTGGATTGGATGGCCCTTGAGGATCTCTTCTATGATTCTGTGATCCTTTTCTGGAGGTTTGTAAGCACAGGCTGGATGACCATCTGTCGGGAGGGCTTTGATTATATATTCCTGTCTTTCAAATCTAGGATCTAATCATCATCATATTCATTATCATTATCTTGGATAATAATGATGATGATGATGATAATGATGATGATGCAGTCTTCTTCTTTACAAGTTTTAAGAAGAGGCTGGGTGGCCATCTGTCAGGAGGGCTTTGATTGTGTATTCCTGTCTTTCAAATCTAGGATCTAATCATCATCATATTCATCATAATTATCTTGGATAATAATGGTGATGACAATAATGATGATGCAGTCTCCTTCTGTACAAGTTTTAAGGAGAGGGTGGATGGCCATCTGTCAGGAGGGCTTTGATTGTGTCTTCCTGCCTGGTAGAAACGGGATGGACTGGATGACCCTTGAGGGTCTCTTCTATGATTCTGTGATCCTTTTCTGGAGGTTTGTAAACAGAGGCTGGATGGCCATCTGTCGGGAGGGCTTTAATTGTGTCTCCCTTTTTGATAGAAAAGGGTTGGACTGGATAGCCCTTGGGGGTCTCTTCTATGGTTCTGTAATCCTTCTCTGGAGGTTTGTAAACAGAGGCTAGATGGCCATCTGTCTGGAGGGCTTTGATTGTGTTTTCCTGCCTGGTAGAAAGAGGATGGACTGGATGACCCTTGAGAGTCTCATCTGTGGTTCTGGGATCCTTCTCTGGAGGTTTGTAAACAGAGGCTGGATGGCCATCTGTCGGGAGGGCTTTGTTTGGATTGGAGTCTCTACCAAACCTAGGATTGTATGGTGGCCACAAAGCATGTCTCCACGTACCTCTGCAGGAAAGGACTGGCCATCGACCTGGTGCTCCGACCCTCCAGGACGACCCTTGCTGCCCCAATGCAAGTGCATCTGGACTCCGGAGTAGATGCTGGGAAGGCCATGCAAGCGCAGGGTCTGGGGCAGGGAGAGCTGCACTGCAAGAGAGCGAGAAAAATGCATGCGTCTTTCTCATAGGCAAGCGGATAATCTTCCTTCTTTCCCTGTAGCCGTGAGGGATTTGGGGATATCTAGTCCTGGGCAATCTCTGGGATTTGGAGATATCGAGTCCAATCTCCGGAGAGTCGAGATGGTGCCGGCCACCCACCCCTCCCCATCCCGTCCTCACCCGTGTGGCCGTTATTTATCATGGTGAACTCTCCCTCAGGGTCCCGGTATCCCTCGGTCTCGATTGGCAGCAAGTTGGGGTCGTATTGGACGTAACCAGTTTGGATATCGATGGGGGACTGGGACTGGAACCCACAGTCCGGATACATCTCCGGCCAATGTTCCTGACCGTGGGGACCTGCGGAGAGAGAGAAGCAGAGGCGGATTTGAACCCAGAAGGAGGAATCGGGAGACAATCAGAGGCGCTCTCGCAAACCACTATGCTATAAGGAGGAGAATGTAAGCTGGTTGCGTTTGTCGTCATTTGCTTTCAATGACTGTATATCACACCAAGTCAATATAGAGTTGATGCTATGGTCTAGTATGGGGTATAGTATTAGTTAGGTCTATTTTTCAGAATAACTCTCAAGCAACTAGAAACCCCCCCTCCCCACACACACACCACATACATGCCTTGAGCTGTGAGAAGAGACAGGTAACAAATACAATTTTATTATCACTATTTATTGTTATTATTTACTCCTTATATCTTGTACATCAGCCAACTAAAAAAATAACAAAGCCAGCGGACCTGATGGGATCCCTGCTGTATTCTTTAAAGAGGGAGGACCTAAGCTGACACAACTCCACCAACTCATTGAAAAAAGGGAGATCTCATGAGAGGGCGTTGTAGTAAATATTGTTATTATTTACTCTTTATGTCTTGTACATCAGCCAACTAAACAATAACAAAGCCAGCGGACCTGATGGGATCCCTGCTGTATTATTTAAAGAGGGTGGACCTGAGCTGACACAACAACTCCACCAACTCATTGAAAAAGAGGGAAATCTGATAAGAGGGCATTGTAGTAAATATTGTTATTATTTACTCTTTATGTCTTGTACATCAGCCAACTAAAAAAATAATAAAACCAGTGGACCTGATGGGATCCCTGCTGTATTTTTTAAAGAGGGAGGACCTGAGCTGACACAACTCCACCAACTCATTGAAAAAAGGGAGATCTGATAAGAGGGCGTTGTAGTAAATATTGTTATTATTTACTCTTTATGTCTTGTACATCAGCCAACTAAACAATAGCAAAGCCAGCGGACCTGATGGGATCCCTTCTGTATTCTTTAAAGAGGGTGGACCTGAGCTGACATAACTCCACCAACTCATTGAAAAAAGGGAGATTTGATAAGAGGGCGTTGTAGTAAATATTGATATTATTTACTCTTTATGTCTTGTACATCATCTAACTAAAAAATAACAAAGCCAGCGGACCTGATGGGATCCCTGCTGTATTATTTAAAAAGGGTGGACCTGAGCTGACACAACAACTCCACCAGATCATTGAAAAAGAGGGAGATCTGATGAGAGGGCAAAGCAGACTCATTGCTGTGTTGTTCTGAACAAGTTTCGGTTCAGCAAAAAAACGAAGAGGATGAATTGGCCTATTTCTCGGTTGGCTGCAGAGCTATTTTGACTTGTTCTTCCAAGCCGGGTAGCAAGGATAAAGCTGTTTGCTTTGCCTTTGTGATTCCAGTGGCCAAAGAGCTTAAAGTCCCTGCGTTTCATTTTACACTTTGACTAAATAAAAAGCAGAGAGGGAGTGCAGCATTAAAAATCCACAAAAGGGATGAAGAGCCCCAAATATTCCAGACTCGCATACAAAGGTGAATAATAATGAATATTGCTTATTTTCCCCATTGTTTGGGGAGAAGAGGAAGGCTTTTGCACAGGAATATGCCTGACTTCTAACATCACAAAGAGGGACGGGGGTGTTGTAGATCAGCCAGGGGCTGATGGTTTAACTGATGATTTAGAGAGGATTGTGAGATTTCCTGTGACACAAAGTGATGGGCCTTCAAATCTAGGAAATTCAAGTCTGGGAAATGATGGTTCTCTCTGTGAGAAAAATGGCTCGGAAAGTGCAGAGCCTCAGGGGCATTCAGGGGAGTCAGAAGTAGCAACAGTAGATAAGGAATCGAGTGAAGTGCTTTTTTGTGTCAGGAATGACTTGAGAAACTGCAAGTTGCTTCTGGTGTGAAAGAATTGGTTGTCTGCAAGGATGTTGCTCAAGGCACTCTGAAATGTTTTGATGTTTTACCATCCTTGCGGGAGGCTTCTCTCATGTCTCCGCATGGGGAGCTGGAGCTGATAGAGGGAGCTCATCTGCACTTTCCCTGGATTTGAACCTCTGAGCTGTCGGTTGAACCCATTGAGCTACTGGGGGCTCCTGAGTGAAGAGCTGAGTGATAAGGAAGGTCCTCTCCAATGCCAGCGATACAGCTTAATGATGTAATATTAGAAAATGTTAACCATTTCCGCTCCCTTGGCAGCCACCTCTCCACCAAAGCCAACATTAACACCGAAATACAACACCGCCTGAGCTCTGCGAGTGCAGCATTTTTCTGAATGAAGCAGAGAGTGTTTGAAAACCGGGGCATCCGTAGGGATACCAAGGTGCTCGTTTATAAAGCTATTGTCCTCCCAACCCTGCTATATGCCTGCGAAACGTTGACTGTCTACAGACATCAACACTGACACCGAAATACAACACCGCCTGAGCTCTGCGAGCGCAGCATTTTTCTGAATGAAGCAGAGAGTGTTTGAGGACCGGGACATCCGTAGGGAGACCAAGGGGCTTGTCTATAAAGCTATTGTCCTCCCAACTCTGCTCTACACCTGCGAAACGTGGACTGTCTACAGACATCAACACTGACACCAAAATACAACACCGCCTGAGCTTTGCGAGCGCAGCATTTTTCAAATGAAGCAGAGAGTGTTTGAGGACCGGGACATCTGTAGGGAGATCAAGGGGCTTGTCTATAAAGCTATTGTCCTCCCAACCCTGCTCTACACCTGCGAAACGTGGACTGTCTACAGACATCAACACTGACACCGAAATACAACACCACCTGAGCTCTGCGAGCGCAGCATTTTTCCGAATGAAGCAGAGAGTGTTTGAGGACCGGGGCATCCGTAGGGATACCAAGGTGCTTGTTTATAAAGCTATTGTCCTCCCAACCCTGCTATATGCCTGCGAGACGTGGACTGTCTACAGACGTCACATGCAACTCCTGGAACGATTCCATCAGTGCTGCCTCTGGAAAATCCTGCAAATCTCTTGGAAAGACAGGCGGACAAACGTCAGCGTGCTGGAAGAAGCAAAGACCACCAGCATTGAAGCGATGGTCCTCCGCCATCAACTCCGCTGGACCGGCCACGTTGTCCGGATGCCCGACCACCGTCTCCCAAAGCAGTTGCTCTACTCCGAACTCAAGAACGGAAAACGGAATGTTGGTGGGCAGGAAAAGAGATTGAAAGATGGGCTCAAAGCCAACCTTAAAAACTCTGGCATAGACACTGAGAACTGGGAAGCCCTGGCCCTTGAGTGCTCCAGCTGGAGGTCAGCTGTGACCAGCAGTGCTGCAGAATTTGAAGAGGCACAAATGGAGGGTGAAAGAGAGAAACGTGCCAAGAGGAAGGCGCGTCAAGCCAACCCTGACCGAGACCGCCTTCCACCTGGAAACCAATGTCCTCACTTTGGAAGAAGATGCAACTCAAGAATAGGGCTCCACAGTCACCTACGAACCTACCGCCAGTACCCCAAACTTGAAGGACCATCATCCCCGGACTACGAGGGATCGCTTAAGGAAGGAAGGAAGGTTCCCATGGGAACCCACTCAAAGCTACAGAGATCAACAAAAGTCTTTTTTTAACAGATCAGAGCAAAAAAATAGATTGTGTCGTTCAGAGAGATTACTTGGGAAAGTTGTGGAGCGAAGCCACGGGAAACTCAATGATTTCATGGGTGTCTATTAAAGAGCAAGTTGTTTATCTTTAGGTGAATTCAGGCAACGTAGTGTTAGCGAGAGAAGCTAAGCCTGAGTTCTCTGGTTCTTGGGTAAAGTCAAGTCTTGGTATCCTGGAAGTTTTTGTTAATGTAAGATTACTGTAATGTGAATGTTTAAATGTGATTTTGTGCAATGCCTGTGAATGTAACCTGATTGCATTACCAAAGAGTGTGTTGACACTGAACGGGTTAAACAGTCAAGCCTCTAATGCAGCGGTTCTCAACCTGGGGGTTGACAAGAGAGAAACATACCTGATTGCATTACCAAAGAGTGTATTGACACTGAAAGGGTTAAACAGTCAAGCCTCTAATGCAGCGGTTCTCAACCTGGGGGTTGCGACCCCTCGGGGGGTCGTTCGGCCAGTTTCTGGGAGTCGTGAAGCCGCATTGGTGAGGGCTCTTTGTTGCAGGTGAACTATAAATCCCAGCAACTGCATCTCCCAAATGTCAAGGTCTATTTCCCCCAAACTCCATCAGTGTTCACATTGGGGCATATTGAGTATCCGTGCCAAGTTTGGTCCAGATCCATCATTGTTTGAGTCTGCAATGCTCTCTGGATGCAGGTGAACTACAACTCCAAAACTCAAGGTCAGTGCTCACCAAACCCTTCCAGTATTTTTCGTTGGTTGTGGGAGTTCTGTGTGCCAAGTTTGGTCCAATTCCATCATTGGTGGAGTTCAAAATGCTCTTTGATTGTAGGTGAACTATAAATCCCAGCAACTACAACTCCCAAATGACATAATCAATTTTCCCTCCAACCCCACCAGTATTCAAATTTGGGCATATTGGGTAACGTAAGGTAAAAGTTTTCCCCTGACATTAAGTCCAGTTGTGTCCAACTCTGGGAGTTGGTGCTCAATTTCTAGGCCAAAGAGCCGGTGTTGTCCATAGACACCTCCAAGGTCATGTAGCTGACATGACGGCATGGAGCGCTGTTGTTGGGTATTTGTGCCAAATTTGGTCCAGTGAATGAAAATACATCCTGCATTTCAGATTTTTTACATTATGATTCATAACAGTAACACAGTTACAATTGTTGTTGTTGTTGTTGTTCATTCGTTCAGTTGTCTCCGACTCTTCGTGACCTTACAATTACAATTACAATTAGGAAGTAGCAATAATAATAATTTTATGGTTGGGGGTCACAACAACGTGAGGCACTGTATTAAGGGGTCGCGGCATTAGGAAGGTTGAGAACCACTGCTCTAATGAACTGTGAAGATGTGACCCTGAGTGCCTGGAACACGTAGGGAGGATCCAGAGATAAGGTTTCGTTCGCCTTTCTTACTTCGATGTGTTTTTTTGTCTTGTTCCTGCCTGTTTGGTTGGATGTCAGGAGTCTCAAATCTAGATCGAGAGGAGTCATATTCTGCTTTCTTCTGCTTTGATTCCTTCAACTTGTTCAACTTTGGAAAGTTGACCACTGGCCCTAATCCTGCCATTGGTCAAGGGGCGGAGTGGGCTTCCCTCCCTCTGTGGCTAAGCTCTTCTTAGTCTCCCCATAATGCCTTTATGTCTTTCTTTTTCTCCAACTCTGGAATGCGTAGGGTCCGGATTATCGTCCCCATCATGCCCGACTGAGCGCTCAGCTCTTTGCAACAACAACAGGGGATTCTTTTCTTTCTTTTCTTTCCTTTCTTTCTTTCTTTCTTTTTTTCTAATTGGAACAGGACTTTGGCGGCGGCAAAAGGAAAGGTCTAGCAAACACACTTAGCATTAGGAAAGGTGCTTTGGGGACACGGCACGGAGGCCCCTGTGCGCCAGGGAGGGAGAGAGAGAGGCCTGGAGGGCCTGAGGAATGAGGTGGGCACAAGGGGGACCTGGAAGCCAGAGGTCATCTAGTCTGACCCCCTTGCAGATAGGTGGGAAGATCCAAGCAAAGCCCTCCCGACAGATGGCCATTCAACCTCTGCTTCAAAACATCAAGGGAAGGAATCATAGACTTGGGTGAGACCCCCAGATGTCATCTAGCCCAACCCCCTTTTGGCCAAGCAGGAAAATCGAATCAAAACCCTCCCGACAGATGACCTCCCAGCTTCTGCTTCAAAACATTAAAGGAAGGAATCATAGAATCATAGAGAGAGACCTCAGAGGTCATCTAGTCCAACCTCTTTTGGCCAGGCAGGAAATTCCAATTGAAACCCTACTGACAGATGGCCATTCAACTTATGCTTCAAAACATCCTAGGAAGGTATCATAGAATCACAGTTAGGAGTGACCCCCAAGGGTCATCTAGTCCGACCCCCTTTCAGATAGGTGGGAAGATCCAAGCAAAGCCCTCCCAACAGATGGTCATTCAACATCTGCTTCAAAACATCCAGGGAAGGAATCATAGACTTGGGTGACACCCCCAGAGGTCATCTAGTCCAACCCTCTTTCAGCCAAGCAGAAAACTCCAATTAAAACCCTACCAACAGATGGCCATCGAGCTTCTGCTTCAAAACATCCATAAAAGGAATCATAGAATCATCGACTTGGGAGATACCCCCAGAGGTCATCTAGTCCAACCCTCTTTCGGCCAAGCAGGAAAATCCAATCAAAGCCCATCCGACAGATGGCCTTCCAGCTTCTGCTTCAAAACATTCAAGGAAGGAATCATAGAATCATACAGAGAGACCCCAGAGGTCATCTAGTCCAACCTCTTTTGGCCAGGCAGAAAACTCCAATTAAAACCCTACTGACAGATGGCCTTCCAGCTTCTGCTTCAAAACATCCTAGGAAGGAATTATAGAATCATAGACTTGGGAGAGACCTTAGAGGTCATCTAGTCCAACATTTTGGACCAGGAAGGAAACTCCATTTTAAACCCTCCCAACAGATGGCTTTCCAGCTTCTGCTTCAAAATACCCAGGGAAGGAATAATAGAATCATAGACTTGGGAGAGAACCCAGAGGTCATCTAGTCCGACCCCCTTTCGGCCAGGCAGTAAGATTCAATCAAAGCCCTCCTGACAGATGGCCATCCAGTTTCTGCTTCAAAACATTCTAGGAAGGAATAATAGAATCATACAGCTGGGAGAGACCCCAGAGGTCATCTAGTCCAACTCCTTTTCAGACAGGTTGGAAGATCCACTCAAAGCCCTCCCAACGGATGACCATCCAGCTTCTGCTTCAAAACATCCAGGGAAGGAATCATAGAATCATAGACTTCAGAGTGATCCCCAGAGGTCATCTAGTCCAACCCCTTTTCGGCCATGCAGGAAGATCCAATCCAATCATAGAATCATAGACTTGGGAGAGACCCCCAAAGATCATCTAGTCCAACCTTCTTTCGGCCAGGCAGAACAACCCAATCAAAACCCTTCTAACAGATGGCCATCCAGCCTCTGCTTCAAATCCGCAACAAAAGGAGTCTCCAATGGATTCCCAAGAAGAATAAACATCTAAACATCAGTAAGTTCTTTCTAATGTTTAGCCGGAATCGCTTTTCCTGCAATTTGAACCCGTTGCTCCATATCCATCGTGTCCGTCTCCTTCTTAAATTGCTCTGCCCATTTTGGATCCTGATCCTATTGGTTATCATCCCTCCCAATGTCAGAGCGTTGTCTAGCGTGAGGATGACCAGGCATGGCTTGGAACCCACAAAACCATTGGCTTCTCCATCAGATTCAATGGAGTTGGCTCCTCTTTGGAGTTGGCAAGGCCCTGCAGGAGCGCCATCCGAAATAATGGCGAGAAGGAAGGTCAGCTCAGGTCGTGGTCTTCCATCCCCAGAAACAGCCCTTGAAGGCCTGAAATGCACAACGGAAGGATTCCAAATCCCATTCATGTCAGCCAATCTGTGGATTCCCCTCCCTTTAAACCGGCCGTTCATTCATTTCTCCTTACCTTCATATGTCCAGTGAGAACCTGCAAAGGAAGAAGAGATCAAAGTGAGGAAGTCCTCTTTCTTTTCTTTTCTCCGCCTTCCTTTTTCTTCCCTTCTTTTTCTTTCTTTCTTCTTCCTCTTTCCCCATCCCTTCTTTCCTCCTTTCCTCTCTCTTCCCTTCTTTCACTTGACTCCCCCCATACCTTTTCACTGGTCTCTTCCTTCTTTTTGTCATTTTTTCATTCTTCTCTTCCTCCCTCCCCCTTATACACCTTTCTTTCTCAGTGACATCACTGAGGGCCACTCCACCTAGCATCAGCCTTTCAGGTTCAGACAGCCTTTGATGTAGATGAAAAGATAGATAGAAAGACAGACAGATGGATGGATAGAACGATAGATAGATAGATAGATAGATAGATAGATAGATAGATAGATAGATAGAACAATGGATGGATGGATCGATGGATGGATAGGTGGATAGGTAGGTGGGTGGATGGATAGGTGGGTGGATGGATGGATAGAAAGAGGGATAGATGGCTACCTAGAAGGATAGATTGATGGATGGATGGGTGGATGGATGGATGGATGGATAGATGAGTGGGTTGGTGGAAGGATAGAAAGATGTATAGCAAGATAGATGGATGGATAGATGGATGGGTGGATGGATAGAAAGATGATAGATAAGCAGGATATGAGATGGATGGATGGATGGATGGATGGATGGATGGATGGATGGATGGATAGGTGGATAGATATGGATGGATGGATGGATGGATGGATGGATGGATGGATGTATGGATAGGTGGATGGATGGATGGATGGATGGATGGATGGATGGATGGATGGATGGATGGATGGATGGAGGATGCACGTGTGTGGGTGGACAGATAGAAAGATGGATAGATGGATAGATAGATGAATGGATGGATGGATAAGTAAGTGGGTGGGTGGATAGAAAGATGGATGGATAGGTGGGTGGGTGAGTGGGTTGATGAAATGGATGGATGGATAGAAAGAGTGGGTGGGTGGATGGATAGAAAGATGTATAGCAAGATGGATAGATGGATGGGTGGATGGGTGGATGGATAGAAAGATGAATAGATGGCTAGATAGGTGAATAGATGGATGGATAGGTGGATAGAAAGAGGGATAGGTGGCTAGCTAGATGGATGGATGGATGGATGGAAGGATGGTGTGGGTGGGTGGGTGGACAGATAGAAAGATGGATAGATGGATAGATAGATGAATGGATGGATGGATAAGTAAGTGGGTGGGTGGATAGAAAGATGGATGGATAGGTGGGTGGGTGAGTGGGTTGATGAAATGGATGGATGGATAGAAAGAGGGATAGATGGCTACCTAGATGGATAGATTGATGAATGGATGGATAGATGAGTGGGTGGGTGGATGGATGGATAGAATGATGTATAGCTAGATGGATGGATGGATGGATAGGTGGGTGGGTGAGTGGATGGATGGATGAATAGAAAAATGAATAGATGGCTAGATAGATGAATGGAAGGATGGTTGGATAGGTGGATAGAAAGAGGGATAGGTGGCTAGCTAGATTGATGGATGGATGGATAGGTGTGGGTGGGTGGGTGGACGGATAGATGGCTAGATAGATGGATGGATGGATGGGTAGGTGGGTGGATAGAAAGATGGATGGATGGGTGGGTGAATGGATAGAAAGATGGATAGATGGTTAGATAGATGGCTAGATAGATTGATGGGTGGGTGAATGGATAGAAAGATGGATAGATGGCTAGATTGATTGACAGATGGGCAGTCAGACAGATAGGTAGGTGGCAGGTAGGTAGGTAGGTAGATAGTGGATGGATGAAAGGATTGATAGATAGATGATAGGACAAGACAGACAAATGGATTGCGGGATAGCTAGACAGACAGACAGGCTAGACAAGTAGATTTTTGGATGGATGGATGGAAAAATAGGTTGGTAGATAGATGATGTTTGCCCCCATGGCCTTCCTCTGAGGCTGAGAGAGTGTGACCCAGCAGGTCTCCATGCGTGAGCAGAGTTCTTTTCCCTTTTCGTTTGGGTGTTTCCTGCAGCCCTTGCTTCAAGTGTCTCATGGACAAGGCCCTTTTGATTTTGATTTGCTCCAACTGGGCTCGAAACATAACTCCAGGGGGAAATTGGAGCCCGAGCTGATGGAGAGGAGATAAGCGGATCCGAAATTTGTTCCGCTCTTTAAAAAGGGCAGCCGGTCCCAGGGCGGCCGAGATGTGATCTCTCCTAGCAGGACAGACCGGTCTCTTTCTTGCTGCGGCTGCTAAATATATTCCAGTGAAGGAAAGGACAGAGTGAGCCCGGGACGAGGGACGAGAAAGAGGGGAGCTCTTCCTCTTCCTTGCAATTTGGGGAAGCAGGGGAGTAGTGGTCACCTTGAGAGGCCCACGTGGTGACTTCGGTGAATCGTCCCATAGTTTCTCAAAGTTGGTTGGCTTGTTTTGAACCATTTCATAGAGTCATAGTGTTGGAAGGGAACCCAAGGACCATCGTCATGATGATTATCAATTATTATTATTATTATTATTATTATTATTATTATTATTATTATTATCCATTATTATTATTATTATTATTATTATTATTATTATTATTATTGAAATCCTAGTGCTGGAAGGGTCCTTAAGGCAGGAAGACACCATCAAAGCCTTCCTGACAGATGGCCTTCCAGCCTCTGCTTCAATACCACATCTATATATCTCTATCTATCTATCTACCTATCTACTGGCCTTCCAGGAAGAAAGACACAATCAAAACCCTCCTGACAGATGACCATCCAGGCTCTGCTTAAAGATATCTTATCTATCTGTATATCTATCTATTGGCTTCCCAGGAAGATAGAGAGACAGACTCATAGTTGGAAGAGATACCAAAGGTCATCCAGTCTGACCCTATTCTTCCAGGCTTGAAGACACAATCAAAACCCTCCTGACAAGTGACCATCCAGCCTCTACTTAAAGACATCTAACTATATATCTATCTATTGGCTTCCCAGAAAGACAGAATCATAGTTGGAAGTCTGATCCCATTCTTCCAGGCTTGAAGATACAATCAAAACCCTCCTGACAGATGACCATCCAGCCTTTACTTAGAGACATCTATCTATCTATCTATCTATCTATCTATCTATCTATCTATCTATCTATCTATTGGCTTCCCACGAAGATAGCCAATCCCATTCTTCCAGGCTTGAAGACACAATCAAAACCCTCCTGACAGATGACCATCCAGCCTCTACTTAAAGACATCTATCTATCTATCTATCTATCTATCTATCTATCTATCTATCTATTCGCTTCCCAGAAAAATAGACAATCCCATTCTTCCAGGCTTGAAGACACAATCAAAACCCTCCTGGCAGATGACCATCCAAGCTCTACTTAGAGACATCTATCTATCTATCTATCTATCTATCTATCTATCTATCTATCTATCTATCAGCTTCCCAGGAAGATAGATAGACAGAATCATAGTTGGTCATCCAGTCCAACCCCAAAGGTCATCCAGTCCAACCCCATTCTTCCAGGCTTGAAGATACAATCAAAATCCTCCTGACAGATGACCATCCAGGCTCTACTTAAAGACATCTATCTATCTATCCATCCATTCATCATCCTCCCAGGAACATACATAGATTGATATATAGATAGATAGAATCATACTTGGAAGAGGTACCAGAGGTCATCTAGTCTAACCCCATTCTTCCAGGCATGAAGACACCACCAAAACCCTCTCGACAGATGACCATCTAGCCTCTCCTTAAAGACATCTATCTATCTATCTATCTATCTATCTATCTATCTATCTATCTAACGGTTTCCCAGGAAGATAGATAAAATCATCATTGGAAGAGATCCCAAAGATCATCCAGTCCAACCCCATTCTTCCAGGCTTAATGACATCAAAACCCTCCTGACAGATGGCCATCCAGCCTGAAAACCTCCAGAGAATGACTCCTACTCTCAGAACGTTCTTATTAATGTTTAAACTGAATCTTTATTTTTCTGCTTTGCTTCTCTGTGCTGATTCCTTGATCAAGATAACGGTTGTCTCTTTGCATCGTGGTTCACTTTCTCTGGGTTGAAGCCGTGTGCCGAGGAGGAAGGTTGAATCCGTGTATGTGACCTTCCTGTTTACATTGGAGGAATGTCAACAGGAAGGTGTCAGCTGAGAATCAGACTTGCACAACAGGTGGAAGGGACTCTGCTCCGTAAAAGCATTGGCCGGGGTAAACATCATATTTATTTTAAGTTCTTCCTAACGCTCAGGTGGAATCTCTTTTCCTGTCATTGGGACCCATGGCTTCCTTGTGTCCTAGTCTCCAGGCTATAGATAAAATCATAGACATAGACAGATTGATAGATAGAAGATCTGAATAGATAGACACAAAGACAGATAGACCAATGAATGGCTCAGTGAATGGCTCAATGGATGGATAGATAGATAGATAGATAGATAGATAGAGAGATAGAGAGATAGAGAGATAGAGAGATGAATCACTGGATGAATGGCCCCGTTCCTTTCCCTCATTCGTGAACTCTTGAAGTATTGTTGTTATTTACAACTATTACTACTATGCTTACTACTAATACTATTACTATATGGGAGTTATCCATGCTAAATTTCCAATAATTATCTCTATCCGTCAGTCCATTCATCTATCTATCTGTCTGTCTGCCAATCTGTCCATCCATCGATCCACCAAATCTTCTTTCTTTCTATCTATCTGTCTCTCTATCTGTCTCATCTATCTATCCAACCATCTATCCAACAATCAATTTGTCTGTCTGTCTTGTCCTATTAGCTATCTATCAATCAATAATTTCTTCCATCCATCTATCTGTCTGTCCATCCATCCATAGTCTGTCTATCTATCTATCTATCTATCTATCTATCTATCTATCTTCCATCAATCCATCAAGCAATTCATTTGTCTGTCTTGTCGTATCATCTATCTATCAATCCTTTCCTCCATCCATCCATCAATTCATATATCTATCTTCTCATCCAACCAACCAAACAAGCAACAATCCATTTTTCTGCCTGTCTATCTGTCTGTCCTATCTATCTTCCATCAATACATCCATAAATCCATTTGTCAATCTGTCTTGTCTTATCATCTATCAGTCCTTTCTTCCATCCATTCATCTTTCTGTCTTTCTTGTCCTATCATCTATCAGTTCTTTCTTCCACCTGTCCATCCATCAATCCATTAATCTGTCTTCCCATCCATCCAACCAACAATCAATTCATCTATCTGTCTGTCTATCCATTCATCTGTCTGTCTGTCTGTCTTGTTCTATCTTTCCACCCATCTATCCATCCAACAATCAGTTTGTCTGTCTGTCTGTCTGTCTCTCTGTCTCTATCTATCTATCTATCTATCTATCTATCTATCTATCTATCTATTTATCATATCTATCATCCATCCACCTATCCATCCATTTGTCTTGTCCTATCATCTATCTATTAATCCTTTCTTCCATGTGTCCATCTATCTATCCATCCATCTATCTATGCATCCATCCATTCAACAATCCATTCCTCTATCTGTCTGTTGGTCTATCCAGTTATCCATCCATCTATCCAACAATCCATTCATCTATCTATCTATCTATCTATCTATCTATCTATCCATTCCTTTCTCTCTCTCTCTCTGTGTCTATCTATCTATCTATCTATCATCTATCAATTTCTCTATCTATCTATCTATCCACCCATCCATTCCTCTCTCTCTCTCTCTCTCTCTCCATTCATCTATCAATCCAACAATCCATCCATCCATCCATCCATCCATCTATCCATCAATCCATTGATGTATCTGTCTGTCTGTCTATCCATTCATCTATCAGTCCAATGATCCATCCATCCATCCATCCAATGATCCATCCATCCATCTATTGATGTATCTGTCTGTCTGTCTGTCTATCATTCATCTATTAATCCAACCATCCATCAGTCCATTCATCTATATATCTGTCTTCTATCTCTATCTATCTACCTACCTATCTACCTACCTACCTACCCATCCATCCATCCATCCATTCCTCTCTCTCTCTCCATTCATTTATCAATCCAACGATCCATCTACCCATCTATTGATGTATCTGTCTATCTGTCTATCCATTTCTCTATCAATCCATCTATCCATCAATCCATTCATCTATATATCTGTCTTCTTCTATATCTATCTATCAATCCAACCATCCATCCATCCATCTATCCATCGGTCCATTCATCTATATATCTGTCTTCTATCTCAATCCATCCATCCATCCATCCATCCATCCCTCCCTCTCTCTCCATTCATCTATCAATCCAACAATCCATCCATCCATCTATTGATGTATCTGTCTATCTGTCTGTCTATCCATTCATCTATCCATCCAATGATCCATCCATCCATCTATTGATGTATCTATCTGTCTGTCTATCCATTCAGCTATCAATCCAACCATCCATCCATCTATCCATCAATCCATTCATCTATATATCTGTCTTCTTCTATATCTATCTATCTATCTATCTATCTATCTATCTATCTATCTATCTATCTATCTACCTATCTACCTATCCATCCATCCATTCCTCTCTCTCTCTCCATTCATTTATCAATCCAACGATCCATCTACCCATCTATTGATGTATCTGTCTATCTGTCTATCCATTTCTCTATCAATCCATCTATCCATCAATCCATTCATCTATATATCTGTCTTCTTCTATATCTATCTATCTATCTATCTATCTATCTATCTATCTATCTATCTATGCATTCCTCTTTTTCTCCATCCAGTGATCCATTCCTCAGTAATACCATCTCTCCCTCTCTCGATCAGTCTATCTTGAGAAGCCTCTTTGGGGCAGAAACCTCCACGGGACGTTCTCACAAGAGTCCCAAGGAGGAGAAAGCCTCTGTGTTGCTGCCAACTTGCCCGGCTCTTCCAGCCAGACCCAAACACCCTTTTGTGCAAAATGGGCTTTGTAGCCCCAAAGAGACCCAAGGCTTTGCAGAGGAGAAAGCCCCAGTGTTTGCAAGCTTGGCCGGCAGCGCTGGCCAAACATCATTAATTTGGAGCCGATGAGCTTTTGAAGAAAGAAGAAAGGGTGATATTTACTTCTCTTCCTTTGCCAGGCAGCGGAAAGTGTCCCTTTCCGCCCCGAAAACCCAAGTGAGTTGCATCCAAATCACATCAAAAAGAGCAATCCCAAAAAGCAAACTTACCTGCACTTGCAGCCAAATTTGGAGACAAAACTTGGAAAATGAGAAGAGTGAGGAACATCTTGGTATCGGAAAGATGGAAATTGAGACTTTCCATCCCAATTTAGCAAAGGCTTCGAATACAAAGACCAAAAATATTGGATTTTGGACCCAAAGGGATGCCAAGTTGGTTTTTTTGCCCTGCTCTGCTCTCTTTGCAATACACCAAATAAGTTTCCAAAAATGGCCCCTAATTGGTCCTTCTCAAAGGAATCCTGGGGTCTCAATGCCCCCGACCCATTTGCCACCCAGGAAAATCCACAGGAGAGGACTTTTGCCTTCTGTTAAGGTGGCTCCTGGCCCCAGAACGCCTTTGCCCGCCGACCGAGGTCCCTGCGCCTTAAATACCTCCATCCACTTGTCTCTGAAAGTCCCAACAGTGTTTGGACAGAGCAAAGGGGGGACCCACGGGGGGGGGGGGGGGGGGGTGGTGGCCTGGAATTTGGCCGCCGTTCAGAGCAGTGCCAGCCAAGTCGCTGAGCAAAAGGCCACAGAGAGGGAAGCAGAAAGGAATGGGGGCAGGAAGGGTGGTCTCGGGGTTGAGGATGGAAGGGAATGCCGTGGACCAGGGTCACATTTCCCACCAACTCCCTGGAATTTATTATTATTGGTGGCAAGAGTTCCTCTGAGCATACGCAGAGTGCAAAGTGCAAAGCAAAAACAAGCCCAACTGTTTTAAAGGAATATTCGGGACGGGGGTCTCTTTCTCACCGACTCCCTGGAATGTGTGATTCTTTGGGGCAAGAGTTCCCCTGAGCATACACAGAGTGCAAAGCGCAAAGAAAAACACTGAGCTCAGAATTTAAGTTTTAAGGGAATGGTTGCAACCGGGATCTCTTTCTCACATACTTCCTAGTGTTTGGAGGTCCTCTGAGCATACACAGAGTGCAAAGCACAAAGGAAAATAAGTTCAAGGTTTAGGTTTTAAGGGAATGTTTGCAACTGGGATCTCTTTCCCACTGACTCCCTGGAATGTATAATCGTTCGTGGCAAGAGCATATACAGAGTGCAGATTGCAAAGCAAAAACACTTAAGGTCAGTGTTTACATTGTAAGAGAATGGTTGGGACAAGGGTTTCTTTCCCATCGACTCACTGAAATGTATTATTGTTTGTGGCAAGAGTTCCTCTGAGCATATGCAGAGTGCAAATTGCAAAGTAAAACACTAAACCCAAGATTTAAGTTTTAAGGGAAAATTTGCAACCGGGATCTCTTTCCCATTGAGTTCCTGGAATGTGTGATTCTTTGTGGCAAGAGTTCCTCTGAGCATACACAGAGTGCAAACTGCAAAGCAAAAACTCTAAGCCCAGAATTTAAGTTTTAAGGGAATGTTTGCAACTGGGATCTCTTTCCCACTGACTCCCTGGAATGTATAATCATTCGTGGCAAGAGTTCCTCTGAGCATGCACAGAGTGCAAAGCTCAAAGCGAAAACACTAAGCCCAAGGTTTAGGTTTTAAGGGAATGTTTGCAACTGGGATCTCTTTCCCACTGACTTCGTAGTATCTGGAGGTCCTCTGAGCATACACAGAGTGCAAAGCACAAAGGAAAACAAGCCCAAGGTTTAGGTTTTAAGGGAATGTTTGCAACCAGGATCTCTTTCCAACTGACTTCCTGGAATGTGTGGTTCTTTGCGGCAAGACTTCCCCTGAGCATATGCAGAGTGCAAAGCGCAAAGAAAAACACTAAGCCCCAAGGTTTAGGTTTTAAGGGAATGTTTGCAACTGGGATCTCTTTCTCACCGACTCCCTGGAATGTATAATCGTTCGTGGCAAGAGTTCCTCTGAGCATACACAGAGTGCAAAACTCAAAGCGAAAACACTAAGCCCAAGATTTAAGTTTTAAGGGAATGTTAGTACCCCGGACCTCTCTCACACAGACTTCCTAGCATTTGAGATCATTTCTGGCAAGAGTTCCTCTGAGCATACGCAAAGTGCAAAGCGCAAAGCAAAAACGCTAAGCCCAGGATATACATTTTAAGGGAATGCTTGCGACCGGGATCTCTTTCACACATACTTCCTAGCGTTTGGAGGTCCTCTGAGCATACACAGAGTGCAAAACAAAAACACTGAGCCCAGTGTTTACATTTTAAGGGAATGTTTGCAACTGGGACCTCTTTCTCACCGATTCCCTGGAATGTATGATTCTTTGTTCTTCTGAGCATACGCAGAGTGCAAAGCACAAAGAAAAACACTAAGCCCAGGATTTAAGTTTTAAGGGAATGTTTGCAACTTCCTGGAATGTGTGATTTTTTTGTGGCAAGGATTCCCCTGAGCATGTGCAGAGTTCAAAGCGCACGTGCAGAGTTCAAGCCTTGGCTTGGACCATTGGAATGGAAAAATTGGCCGCCCACCAGCACACCTGGAGAGTAGGTGGGTCCGCTCCATTTGCTGCTGATCAAAGGGATTGAAAGTACATATTTGGCACCACAACCCTCTTTTTTTCCTTTCTCAGCAGAGGCGGGATGGCCATCTGTCGGGAGGGGTTTGATTTCTATAACCATAATAATTGATAATAATCATGAGAGTCTCCTCTGGAGGTTTTGCAGCATGCCCTGGATGGCCATCTGTTGGGAGGGTTTTGATTGTGTCTTCCTTTAATGGCTGAAGAGGGGTTGGACTGGATGCCCTTTGAGGTCGTTTATTAATCCATCTCTAGGATTCTATGATGGCTGTACCATAGAATATAATGTATTTGGTGATCATAACTATGGCTGGATGGCCATCTTTGGGGAAGGATTGGATTGTGTCTTCCTTTATGGCTGAAGGGGGTTGGACTGGATGCCCTTTAGGGCCGTTTCCATCTCTAGGATTCTATGATGGCTTTATCTTAGAATATAGTGTATCTATCGATCATATTTATGGATGGGTGGCCATCTGTCGGGGTGGATTGGATTGTGTCTTTTTATGGTAGAAAGGGGGTTGGACTGGATGCCCTTTCCATCTCTAGGAGTCCTTTCCATCTCTAGGATTCTAAGTTGGCTATATCATAGAATATAGTCAGTGTGTCTGTTGATCATATCTATGGCAGGATGGCCATCTGTTGGGAGGGATTGGATTGTGTCTTCCTTTAGGATTGAAGGCAGGGGGAAGACGGTTATAAAGACATAAGACCCTTATGACTTGCAAGATGGGGGTTTAACCCTTCTCTGCTATCCTTCCATTCAGGAAGGCACCACCCGATCCCTCCCGACAGATGGCCATCCCACCATAATTAAACAGACATACCATATTCTATGATATATCAGCCATAGAATTGTAAAGATGGAAGGGACTCCCCAAAGGACAACCAGCCCAACCCCTTTCTGCCATAAAGGAATACACCATCCGACGCCTCCTGACAGATGGCCATCCCGCAGTTTAACTGCATTCTATGTATCTATCCATCTGTAACTGAATTGCATGGCAATGGAGAAGGTAGAGTCTCCTAAGGTCTCATTTCCTCTCCATCCATCATTCTATCCTTTTCAAAGCTCACCAGGAAGATCCTGGGGATTAGGAGGAGATCTTTTGGATCCCTGTTTACAAAAGATAGCGATGGGAGAGGGGCAAGAATCCCTTGGCGCCTTTGGCAGCAAACAGATGGCGGTGGCTGACGTCTTCTTGGCCGGGAATCCATCCATTATCTCACCCAATGCAGGAGGAATGGTGCCAGGCAATGCTCTCAGAGGATTTATTTCGGTCCAAGACGGATAGATTGCAGGGATTGTTGTGAACACAAAGCAGATAGACAGGTGGAGAGATACATGGATGGAGGAATGGACAGAAAGATTGAGAAATTGATAAAAAGATGGATGGATGGAACAAAAATGGATGGATGGATGGATGGATGGATGGAGAGAAGGATGGGTGGATGGAAAGATGGATAAATGGATAGAAGGATGGATTAATAAATGGATGGATGGATAGAAAGATGGATGGATGGATGGATAAATAGAAGGATGGATGGATAGAAAGATGGATAAATGGATAGAAAGATGGATGGATACATGGATAAATAGAAGGATGGATGGATGGATGGATGGAACAAAAAATGGATGGATGGATAGAAGGATGGATGATAGAAGGGTGGATGGATAGATAGAAGGATGGATGGATAGAAAGATGGATAAATGGATAGAAAGATGGATGGATGGATGGATAGATAGATAGATAGATAGATAGATAGATAGATAGATAGATAGAAGGATGGATTGATAAAGGATGGGTGGATGGATAAATGGATGGATGGATAGAAAGATGGATAAATGGATAGAAAGATGGATGGATAAATAGATGGATGGAAAGATGGATAAATGGATAGAAAGATGGATGGATGGATGGAACAAAAATGGATGGATGGATGGATAGATAGAAGGATGGATGGATGATAGATGGATGGGTAGATAGATAGAAGGACGGATGGATGGATAAATGGATAAAAATATGGATGGATGGATAGAAAGATGGATAAATGGATAGAAAGATGGATAAATGGATAGAAAGATGGATGGATAGAAGGATGGATGGAAAGAAAGATGGATAAATGGATTGATGGATAGAAAGATGGATAAATGAATAGATGGATGGATGGATGGATGGATAGAAAGAAAGAAAGAAAGAAAGAAAGAAAGAAAGAAAGAGAGAGAGAGAGATGGATAAATGGATGGATGGATAGAAAGATGGCTGGCTGGATGGATGAATTGATAGAAAGATGGATAAATGGATGGATAGAAAGATGGATGGAAACATGGATAAATGGATTATTGGCTCGATGGGTGGAATGTTGTTGTTCTGATGCAGGGACCCTCCAGGCCAACACTGGAATGGGCGACAATGCACGATTTCCAGGTTGGTTTCTGTTAATTAATACCAGAATGGGAAGGAAAACCATTGTCTCCAATCCGAAACAAATGGAACCAAATCCCACAAATTCCTGTTGGGCTTTTTCCTTGGCTAATGATCAGCTGGGAAAAATCACAAGCAGCATTTGGAGAGATCCCAAAAAAAGATTAGTATTTCCGAGCTTTGGGTGGAAGACCAGGTGAGCAATAAAATCCACTCTAGCCTGAAAAAACCTACAACAACCCCCAAATCCACTGTTGTTTTTGTTATTATTATTATTATATTATTATTATTAAAATAAATAAATAAATCAAAACAGAGAGCAAAACACTGTGAATGCATAAGATGAAAATGCCATTTCTGCACCCGAAACCCTATGTTTACCCCCCTTGGCTTCTTTAAAGGGATATCAATCCAGATCCAAGCCGGACGGCACCCAGTTGCCATGCGCTTGGGGAGGAATAGGGGCACCCTGACCTCTTCCCGGGATTGCCAAAGGCAGGCTCAGAGGCCGCGCTTTGATTCCCAGTGTTTGCCAGTCAATGACCCAGAGAGAGAGTCCAAAGTGGAGG